TTTCAACATATAATTTCAAATAGGAGCTAATACAGTGTGTGTGTGTGTGTGTGTGTACAGTTTACGCTACTTGTTTACTAATCTGATAAGTAACACGGTTAAATATGGATTTAAAGCACAACGTCTTGGGACCTACATGCTTGTTTGTTTCAGGTAAATGCGACGATGTGATAGTTAACGAAGAGGTAGAGAGAAAAAGTTCTAGAACAAGAGACAGAGAAAGGGCGCAGTGCAAAGAATATAAAATGAGAAAAAGAAAGTTTGGACATAGGACATGTTAGTTAAATTCAATGTAAAAAGTGGTGGAAAATGATGCAAAGCGTACAAATTCCAACCAGTAATATATTAAATATGAATTGTTCTAATAAAATGGCCTGTCATATACATGAGCTGCACGTGTCAAGAAAGATTGGAAACGAAACGAGAAATAAAAGAAAGTCGAAAAAGAAGAGCGATTCGTTTAATTATTTAGAGAGAGAGAGAGGGAGAAGGAGAAAGAGAGAGAAACGAGGTACGAAAACGCATAGGTAACTCTAAGTATGAAAAACGGAATTGCGCTGATACGAGTTGCGCGTGGAGCGGCGACTAAATGCAATACACATATATTTTAACGCCGACATGAAGTTGTTAAAAAAACATGAAAACCGCAACAACCGTTTAACAACTAGAACTAGATGTTCTACCATGACCATTTCTAGTGCGCTCAAGTAATTTTGCTTAATTAAGTTTTACTACTACTTTTTTCACATCATCTCTCTCTCTCTCTCTCTCTCTCTCTCTATAGCATCCACGGTTCGACACCCAAAGCAGCATCACTACTATCCTCATCATCATCATTATAATCATTGTCATAATCTGTCTCTCGAATGACTAATTGAAACGAAGGACACTTTACCTGTACACTTTTTTCTCTCTCACATTTTATATATTTCTTGTGGCATGTTTTTCACTTTCATTTTTCGCTGTCGCTCATCTCCAATCATTTTAATTATCGTACTCGGCATTACCATTAATGTGAAACTCAGTGGCCAGATTGCTCGGAAAATGGATATTAAACTCGCTTCTACAAAAATAAGTGCATTGTGATAATCGAGTTTTTTTCCGCTCAATCGTTCGATCACTGATCCATTTACTTTTGTGCGAAAGAAAAACTCATATCATCAGCAATGGCGTCAGCAAAAAAAATCCCTCGTCTACAACTTGATTGTTCACATAATAGTTCAAGGCAAACAGATAAAATACTTGTTGCTTTTCACCATGTGCTGCATTATTCGCACGAATAGAGTATGATTTCGTTTTTTTTTTGTTCTGGTTCGTTGTCATAGCGAGAGAGAGAGAGAAATGAAATACTTGTTTCTTGTTGAAAACATTTTTTTTTTGTAAAAGACCTCACATTGATGATCAATGTAAAAAATGAAAAATGATTGCGAAGACAAAGAGAAAATAAAAAAAATTCTTGTATTTTACACAACTCATTTGTTTACTAGAGAAACAGACATCATAATTAGTCGAGAAAAAGTGTTATTCGAAATTTTTGCTCTGTGTATTTTTCTCATTCCTTTTCAAAAAGTTCATGCGTTCATTTTCTTCAATTTTTTCTAGTCGGTGCTTGTACTCGTCAAATCGTCTGATTTTGACTTTGTTTGCATTAGAATTTAAATAAAATGATTGTCCTTTGAGCATTTGAAGAGTGTCTTTCTTTCTGTCTCTCTTTCTTTCTAAATATTTCCCTATCTGTAATAGCGGCCGAAATGGAAATGACCAGAAAGAAAGTGGGAGATAGCAAGTGAATTAGTAATACAATGAGTCTTGATCGATCGTCGGTCGGATGGATGTCAAATTGGTTAAAGATAAATGAAGATAAGCTAAATATTTCTACTTCTCATTCTGACTTTCAGTTAAATCTGTCCAATCCCAAAAATAAATATCATCACTTGGATATACGAAAGGCAAACAGTTAACCAAACGCTGTTATAAATTAATGACAAACAAGCATTTTTTGTCCTCTCTCTCTGTCTTTCTCTCATTTCGATATGTGCTCCTGTCAATGTGATGTAAAAGAGTTCTCGGTAAGAGTTCGTACATATTATTGAACGTAGGCAATTTATTAATCGGTTTATCACCATCATTATCATCAAAATATATATATCGATACAGGCAATGTAACTTTGCATTTTCATGGAAACGAAAATATAAAATTGATGATGGTTTCGTTTCGATAGTGTACACAATACGTAAATGCAATCAATTTACGGTAGGTTCATTTTACGGAGTCGCCGCCGAAGAACGCATATCAAAATGAATCAAAAGGGAAAGGTATATGGGTCAAATCACTATAACTACATGTAATTGTTTGTCATTGATTACATTTTGTGCATATTCTTTGTAACTTTTAATGATGTGTTATTGAATTATTGGAGAAGGGAGAGAGAGAGAGATATGATTCCATCATCGTCAATTTTGTATCGCGATATATACTCAATTATCATGATTTAACATTTAATTGAAATTATGTAGGCTTTTATCGAAAATTGCCAACACGAATGCTAAATTATTTATTACTAATTCACAAAACAAACAGTAAACAGTTTTTTTTTTTATTGTTTAAAAGTAAACACGATGATAATCGATGTGTATATTCTTGATTCGGCCAATTCAATAGACAAATTGTTGGTCGATAATCATTTTCGGTGCGATTTCTCTATCCCTCATTTGTCTTCTATCGCTCGTCCGGTTTTGCGCATAACGAGCGAATCACTTTTATTCTCTGAGCATACACATTTGTTAATATGTGAGAGTATATTTTAAAATCTGCATTCGTTGTTTTGTTGGCATTCAAATTCAAAATTTTGAGGAAAAGAGAGTAAGTAAGAGAATCATCAAAAATCGAGCGAAGACTGAGCCAAGTGTCTATCATGGGCAGCGCATATCATCATTATTCATCATTTAAATAAAAAAAAATATATAAGCAGAAGTAAAATGTATGAAATTTTAATAAAGTGTTGCTTGTTATGTGCTGTTCCTTCGTCTTAAGTGCAAACTCTGACTGAAGAACACGTCAATCCATTAGTCTCGGATTCCATTGAATTTACTTGAGTGGAACAATATGCAAAGGAGAAGGAACGATGGCGAGCGGTGGAGAAGGAACGATAGCCTAAATGTGCACGTAACACAATCATAAATAATAAATTATTTTATGCTGGTGCATAGAACACCTTTTCCGAGAAAAATTGAAACTAAAGAAAAAAGAGAGAAAGGGAAAGCGAGAGGAAGAGAAGCTTTCTCTCTATTTTTGAAATTTAATTTCTTTTCTATTCGCTTCATTTCATGGTTCCGATCTTTTTCTTTGTTTTGTTTTTTTCTTCTCTCTTCAAATTAAAATCATTGACGCTTCAAGTAGATCATTACACTTGTTGCAAATACACATCCGCCAAAGAAAATGTCATCCTTGTCGTCGATTTTGAACCGTTTCCATAATTAGAAAATATGCTGAATTTTAAGCGAAAAAGAGTGAAATTGTTGAACTGCCTCTGTGCTCTATGGTCACTATACCGTTTCAATTCGTCCCGAATAAATATGCACAAAACCCATTTTCCATTTTCCATTTCACTTTCTTTCAACTACCAAAAGGCAATTAATATTTAAAAATTCTCGGAACAAAATAACTGCTACTACAACAACAATTACAACAAAGTGTACAAAAAACACAACGAATAATAATGAAATTGTAACGAGCCGTGTTTAAACACAAAGATTTGCGGTCACATACATATTTCGAATGAAAAAAAATTTGCTCGAATAGAGTGGGCCTAATCTTTGAAGAAGAAAAAAAATGGTTGTTCAAAGTTTATTACGCGGTGCGCAACCACTTCAATTAGTTGGGTTCGATTTATGAGTTTATTCTTCGGAGCACTTATAAATAATAATCGATGTGCCAGCAACCGACCGACCCACAGAAAAAAAAACGAAACGAATTTAAAGAAATAATAAATAGATACAAAACGTTTTTTCGCGGTCGTTGATGTACAATTTTTTTTTCAATATTTTCTTTTTCTTCGCTTACTGTACGTGGGAATACTATTTTTAAATTAGCGATGTGACACGACAATGCATTAACAACAGCTGTTCATTGATGATACTTCGATCATTTTTATGAATGATCAAAATGATATATATTCAAATCTTTGGATCTTTTTTTTTTTGAATTTGATATTTTTATCTTTGTAATTTGACCGCATTTTACGTGGCAAATATTAATAATAAAAATAAATAATGATAAATATTCACACCGGAAAAATGTGTGTTTTTTCGTCTATTTTTAAAATAACAAATGAAACAGTGCAAAAAAAACGAACAGTCGCGCACGATGCGGATTAACCTCTTATTTTAAACAAAAAATTATGTTATCTCAGTTGGCAGGTACAAAACTAAAAATCAAAACCGTGAAAATGAAGGAAAAAAACAACACAGACGCGAAGAGCAAATTTTCGATAAAATTTTAAATAAAAGGCGGAAGAGAATTACTTTGAAACAAATAAAAAAAAATGTCGCACGCACCAAACAGAAGAAGAAGAAAGCGAACAAAAAAAAATCACTGAAACCGTTGACAATTATTTTGAAATAGAATTTTGTTTTTCCTTGTTATCTTTAAATAAGTTACCCTTGTGCTGAACGGCTGAGCAGCGTGAGCGGCCAAAAAAATGATAACTTATAATTGATTCGATATACGATCGAAGAAACAAAAATGAGAGAATAAATTCAATCAAATAAAAATGAATTTGAAATCGTTCGTTATATTTTCTCACTTGAACGAAAAAAAAAAATCACACTCAAAATCGTCGTGACATCGAAAACCGCACACACATTTATATGGATTTAATAAATAAAAAATGTACACAAACACAAATTTTCGGCTTTTCGATCGGTTTTTCGTTCTTTAAATGGTAAAATTTAATTTTGAATGAAATAACAACAAAAAAGAAGAAGAAAAAAAAACTAACAAATTTGAATCGTTGCTATTGGCGTATAAAATTTGTTGACTGCTTTTCATTCGGTCGATGTTTTGTTTTCTTTCGTTTTTCGCTGCGTGGATCTATTCTGTTTTCTATTCTGTCAAGCGGTTTATCAAACGATTGAACGAAAAAAAATGATATATATAATGTTTGTTGGTTGGATTTTGTGAGCTTTCTTCGAGGTATGTGTACGTCCAAACAGTGTCACGGCGACTATACAACTGATACGATTTTTATTCGTGCGAGGATTCAACCAGACTCAACAACCAACACTCGGTGTATTGTGTTGGCTGGCTAGCTATAACTCTGTGTATTCGACGTTCTATCGCGCGCTCTGTATGTGCTTGCCATAGTCTTTTGCTCAGTCTGTATGAGAAACATATTCTAACACTGTGTGTTGTTGGTTGGTTCAAACCAAACGAATGAGCCGACGATGTACAAACGATATATGGGATCTATACCGATGTGATGGATGTGTGAGGCTCTTGAACAACGTGCACGTTACTGTATGAACAACTGTAAAAACGGTGTGGTGTACAGTGCTGTTGTTATTATTGACACGCGCGCCTGTATAAACACAGCATATAACATATTCTACTATTACAACAAATTTGAAAGTGAATTATGAAGACGACGACGATGACGACGACGATGATGATGAATCAAGTATGAGCTTGAAATACAGTACAGAGACAACGACATCGGTCTACACATATTTTGAAAAAGCGTTAAATTCATGACGCATTTGTCATCGTCGTTTGGTTCGATTGAGAGTGGAAATTCCTTGACGAAAACAATGAACAGAAAAAGGTCTACATTCGTCGAGAGTGAAAGAGGGCATATGCATGCACATAAGACATATTCGTCAAATGCACTTATCACGAACTATAATATGCCGGCATATTTACATATGCATGACCTAATGACATTATACCACACTTTCAAATTAAATGTCTATTTGCTTTGCATTTTGTATTTCTGCGTCAAGCGTGCAAATTGTTGTGGTTGACATTGTTTTTTTCCCTTTTATCGCAATAAACACTTAACAAACTAACAAAGTTTCTATAAACATTTTCAATATTGTACAGTGTACACATATCGCATGCAGGTGGACATGTATGCGTGTGGTTTGAAATGCGTTCTGTTTATATTTCATTTTCATTCTTTGGCAACCGAATTTTAATTAAGTGCCATTAAGTACAATCGCCACAATGATGTGAACGAACCGAATAAAATAAAAATGTATGCGAAAAAACTTCCGGCAAATGGATACATTTGCTTATGTTGTTGTTGCAATTTAAAGTGGTATCAAAGGGAAATGCGGTCTTAATCTCTTCATGAGTAGAGTACATATTCTTATGAGCATACACATTCACAAACACTTCTAATCAAAACGACAACGAGGAAGGGAAAAAAAGATCCTTTCCTTTGCACACATATTTAATTGAAATTTACCGCATTATTACCTGCGGCTTTTATGAGGTTCTTGACGCATTCTTTTTATCTTAACCGAATTTCGCTCTTTTTTCCATACGCATGAACGTACAATACAATGAAGTTCTAAAATTATCTCGTACTTTTTTTGTATCGTGTGTACGACACGGCCGACTTTTGTATTAATTAAAATAAATTGTATATTTAAAAGTGATATGTATCGTCATTCGTCATGGTGCAGCCCAAAAAATAAATTGATAAAGAAATTTCAAAAGTTAATTCAAATAATTAAAAGTATATTATCGCTTGTGTACAGCGAAATACAGAAAACTAATGTTTTCATTTCAATGTTGTCATTTAATCGGTATCATGTCGAAATTGTTCTTTAATCAATCCACCTTTTGTTCAAGACACTCCATTTTTGATTTAAATATTTAATTTCAATTAGCCATAAGAAATGAAGAGTAAACTTGACTCACAGAATGTAAATTCAATGGAAAACCGGTACAAAAAGCGACATCTTTAGAAAAGCTTTGCCAAAATGTCATATAACTTTTCCGATACACCGCGAATCAAATCGAAAAAGTTTCATTCGGAAAATTATTTTTCCACATTTCCTTCGGAATGTCAATTTGTGATGAGAAGCTCATACACAGATGTCGTCAATGGTATTTTTTTCGCGTGTAATGCGCATATGCGTCGTTCAACTTTATAGATTTTTCGATCTGGTTAAAATGAAATTTACATTGCGTGAATAATGATAAGAAATCACCACAAATACATTTAAACTATTTCATAGTCGGAACCTAGGTAGAAATTGATTTTCATGCAATATTACGATTTTTTTTAAATAACAACAAAAACATGAAAAGCACCGTGCTTTAAGCACGATTTTACTATGGCCCATTAACGCATGTATTCAACTTGAATGAAAATAAGTTAACACATGTACAAACACCATTCGAGTGTCCAACTCAACCAAAATACACACATCAACAATACATAGTGTGTATGTGCGCAATACACATCATCAATCGCACATTTCACGGTGGTTTTGTACATGCGTGTTTGTGAATGTGTACGAATGGCACTGGCAACAGAACGAGGGAGCAAGCGAGAAAATTGGAGTATAGAAAAGCAGAGCAGCAGATACATTCTCTCCAGGCAATGTGTATATATGGCGAAAATTGAAAATATATGAGAAAGAAAACGGCAGCAGCGAGTAGAAAAAACGGAAAAAAACAACAACAGAGACAGAGTGGTGCTTACTCCATTGTCAGTGCTACGATCAATGTTCAGTTTTTCATTTTGATTCGACGGAGAAGCAACGGAAATAAATTCGAGTGTTTAAAGTACGTTTACCAAAAAGAAAATTCATTTTGTTTGTTTGTGTGTTTGTGTGATTGTTGTTTTTTTCTTCATATTTTTGTTTTTGTAAATGAAACGAAATTGTTGTTTTCATTGTCAAATTTACATGTTAAATTTATTGTTCTAAAATATTGTTGTGTGTCAGCTTCTATCGGAAAATCTATCCATTTTCTTGGTCAATTTCTTCTATTTGGCAAAAAAAGTTTGTATCGATTTTGAGCAATAGCATTTTCGGGCGATTAAACATATTTTGCAAAAGGGGATTTGTTTGACGTTTTTAAATGTGATAATTGAAACAAAAGTCAAATTAAAATGGTTGTTAATAGAAAATATGGTTTGTTACGTTTCACGCAATTTTGTGGCCATTTTTTTCACACCATTCATTGGCTCGGATTGAGATTATTTGTTCACACATACACATACACTGGGCACAACCGTGTTTCGATTCGTGCGCGAATCAATGCTTTCAACGAAATTATAGTGAATTTTGTGGCCGAAAAGCCAAATTGTGGTGCATGCAACCGACGCAAGAGGCCAATCGTTAATGCAATCGAACAAATAGACGAATGTATTACAAGACATGTTTGATTGAGAATGACATTTTTGTGGTATTTCTGTCAAAATGCTTATGCTCCAAATGTCCTTGTATAACCAACTGAATTTTTTTTTTAAAGCAAGTGTTTTTTTTTTTTTCAAAAATATAATATTTATTTATTTTTTCATTTTTTGCAACAAATTGGTATAAAAAAAACTAAAAATTATCTTTCATTATAATTCCATATGTGTGGTGGCCATTCATATTTTCAAGCTCAAAAATGAAATTTTATGTATATAAATATGAAAATGGATCCATATATGACTTGCCACGGTAAAAGCGTCGTCATTTATGTACACGCGCACACACTACCGAAAGTAAACGAGGAATCTCCTCCCCTGCAGCATGTGTGGTGTGGTGGAATGCTTGTGTTTGCTGGAATTTATTTTTCATAAGCAATCAGCATTCCGTTCGATGAGAAATGATGAGATGAAAGAAGTGAAGTTTCGTCATTCATTTTGTGATTAGTGGGCATTTCTTTGTTTAAGGCATTCATGGAAATTCAGAAAAAATATTGTTAAAACTTATTGAATGAAATGGCCGATGTGTTTCCTTCTCTTTTCCATTGAGCTGATGAATATGTATGTGTTTTTCTTGGAATGTTTGTTGAAAGTAAATGCGAATTGTATGCATATGTATGGGTTGGTTTTTCTACGTGCGATTTCGATGTACTGTGTATCGGAGTTCTTGATGGAGAAAAATCTATATACACATACATTTACATGCACACCATGCTCACTCTTCAACGCACACATTTACAAGCACAGTACCTTCATTGCCACGACCACCAACATCATCATCATCCACTTGACGAAGAACAACTATTGATTTTTCCATTGAAAATTGAATTCAAGTGTTTGTACGCAAAGATATTTTCTATTATACTTTCTGCTATCGTGTATGGCACATTGGCATTATGTTGTTTGTCACAGTTTGTTTAAGTTTAACTGTGTCAAATTTTCTCAATTCGATTGGGGAATCGAAGGGGTTCTTCATGTTTACCGGCACAAAGGTGTTGTACACACATTTTCGAATATTATTGGAACTTTCCGCGCACAATAACTCACACCAAAGCCAAAAACCCATCAATTCAAAACGAATGGAGCTTTGCAAATAGCAAAATATTGCTATCTGTACACTTTTTGGACATATTTTCAGTTGGTTTTTTTTATAGAGAAATTAAATAACAGACGATCTACCGAATTGTACAAACTTCCGTGCGGAAATGCGTACTTCAAATGGAGGAAATCCAAATGGAAATTATTTATGTTATTCTTGTTCCTCATTTATAGTCATTTACTCTCTATGTAACGTACTCAATATTTTAACAAGAGCAGCATGCCATAATATCCACAGTATTCAGATGAATCCGATGAAAAACGTTCCGAAACATTTCAAAGAAAATGAAATGACTAATATGAAATTCAATGAGACTTTGCTCGGTTTCTCGATTCTTTTTTTCGAACACCATAGAAATCACATTGTGTGAAATTGGTGGTGCGTGCATGTTATTCGTTTATTGTTGACGTTGTCTGTGTTGTCGTTATCTTTTTACTTTGTCTTTCTTTCATTCTAACAGAGCGTGAAGGCGATGAAGTTACCAGTAAATCTATACAAATCTATTGGGCAACTTTGTCGTTTTGTTTATGTACATTGTACACACGCCAACTGTACAGAGAAACGTCAATAAATGATAATATTTACTATATAAAGCTTGTTTTGTCATTGATTTAGTTCCCTTATGGAAAAAAAATGACTGACTGACTATAAATTAAGTCAATTTTAAACACTTTCGAATATAGTCGGTTATGTTTCAGAGTTAACTAAAAGTGAACAAAAGTCAAGTTCTTATACTTATAGATAACCGTAGTTAACTATGATAACAATCAACATTTCTCAACTCAAGTCACTTATAGTTAACTTTAGCTGGCTGAAATATCAGCCATTTTTGTCCCAAATTAATCAATTCATAGTCGACTATGAAGTCGAAATATTTTCACAAGGGTTAGAGTTTTTATATATATATATGACTTGTGACTTGGCTCATTTCACATTCTCGCCCAGTTCACTTCGCACTTAAAACAAAACAAAAAAAAATAGAAAAAAGCAAAAAAAAAAAACTAGTGCAAGCAAACGATTGTGCCACCAACACGTGCATCGAAGTACTAGGCTTTGGCGAGCCACATTTTATGTATTCCACATGTGTATATATGTAGGGGTTATATATGCTTTGCACGATTCGATTTGAGCGATACATATGAAATGAATGATGGATGAACCATTGAAACTCTACACACGCAAACAATAGAAGCCACAAATCAAAAGAGAATAAAAATCATACCGAATAACAATCAAAGTGGAAAATAATCAAATCATTTTTGCAATCTATCAACGAATGCATTTCATTTTGTGTGTGGTATTTAATGAATGCGATTTATTTATTACGCAAACCATATTTCCTCTTCTCTGCTTCTACTTCTGCTATGTTATATTGTGTTATTTTTATGATTCTGACAGAGTTTGTGACATTTTATGTCAACTCTATATCACATATTGATAGATTTTAAGAGATTCAGGCTCCATAAAAATGGCACACAGCAACAAAAGATGTGTTCTTTTACACCTTTTTCGGGCTTAGTGATGAGGAAAATCTGTTGTCACCATTAAGTTTGTCTGCGCACTCATTTCTTTTTAATGTATACGTATAGAGATATTTATAGTTGAAAATAGACATTTATTGGTGAAAGAAACAATTCAGTAGAACCATAATTCGATATAGCAACAATACGGTATTGGAATCATTTGAAAAGTATGCTGCAGATTTATAGCATTTCGCTACAAAAAAAAAGAAGAAGAAGAATGAAAGCATCTCTCAAACGAAGCATTGAATATAAACTGTTTTCCATGCGATTTCATTTATTTAAGTCATTATCAACTTTTGCCCTTTGATATCACGGTTTCTCTTCCATCTCTTTTTCCTCACCAAAGTGAATAAAATACAAATTTTGCTGTTTGCAAAACTTGAAACTTTGTGTTTTGTTTGATTTTGCGATTCATGGTATTCCAATATGCAAAAAAAAAAAAATCGAAAAAGAGAGAAAAGCTCTGAAACATTTCGATTTGTCTGGATCGCTGTCATTCGCTGTGAAATGATTTTGAGGAATGTGCGTAACATTTCCATTCCAGCTGTTGGATATTCACACATACATACACTTGCTGTGTCACGCATCATGAATTGATGGAAAAAGGCATTGGAATTTATATGAATGCGTAAATTTGGTACGGGTTTCTCTGTATTGTTTTGTATGTGTGTGTGTATTTTGGTGCTTCTTCAGGTAGAAAATAACACAAGTGGAGCCAATTATAATTTAACTTTGATAGCTTGGACCAGATATATAATATGTGTGCGCGCCTTTTTTTGGGTGCTTGAATTCAACGCAATGTAGAATTTTCGTATCTCTACTTTGAGTGAATGTTGGCCACATCTACCCATACGCTCATTCTTCACTTTAATTTTCCATGCATACAGATGTATGGAAATTTAAGATACATGATCTCTGCGCCACAGTAAGATTGTTTTTCCATTATGTTAAAAGTATGGATGGGGCAGAGGAAAAAAGAGTGAAAGAGATTGAGAGAGGAAAACGACGGCGCTTGACGACTTCGAATTATAGTAACTGAGCAACAGAAATGCTCACTCTTATTTGTACAATACTTGCTCAACAATTCTCATTAGTAGATTGCTGGTTGCCTTGACACGCTTTCTTTGAGTAAAGCTTCAACTTTCAAATAAGATAATTATTTCGTGTTTATTATTATGTTAGGGCATGGATTTATTTGTGACAGCATTTCCAATCCATAATCGCTTTTAAAAGGTTTATCTCTCTCTCTCTCTCTCCCTTCCCTTGGATTCACCCGAATTTTATCATACATGTCTTTTTCTGCCCACATATTATATTCTATTTGATTATTGCAAAGTTTTTCGGAAACAAATGACATTTTTTGTTCAATAATAAAATAAATTATAGAATGTGAAAATCGTTGTTCAATGTATTAAAACCACCAGCTATTGTACATTCATGTAATGCGACAACTGGGTCCTTGATACCTCTTTCAACAATGCAATGCGAGGTTTTGTTTTGTATTAGATTCGTTTTGTAAGTGGGCACAAGTACCGAGAACATAAAACATTCACATCGAAATTGGGTCGTACCATTACAAAAAAAGAATCAGAGCTGACTTTTCTTTAAAAAAATTATGTACCTAACCAATGGCTTCCAATGTGTTCTTTGTTTTTTTTTTTTTAGATTTTCCCTTTGTGTGTGTGTGTCCACGTAAATTATAGTCATTTGATTTAAAATTCCATTCTTTTAATTGAATTATTTCGTTTTCTAGATGGCTGGCGGTGGTGATCCAAAATGGCAAAAAGATGCAGCTGATCAAAATTTTGATTACATGTTCAAATTATTAATCATTGGAAATTCTAGTGTGGGTAAAACGAGTTTTCTATTTCGTTACGCCGATGACTCGTTTACATCAGCATTTGTGTCAACAGTTGGTATTGATTTCAAAGTGAAAACAGTATTTCGACATGATAAACGAGTAAAACTGCAAATTTGGGTGGGTTATTTTTCGGCTTTGCATTTTTTTTTCTTCTTCTTCTAAAACGATTAATTTATTGTGGACGATAGGATACCGCTGGTCAAGAGCGATATAGAACCATAACAACTGCTTACTACAGAGGTGCGATGGGATTCATTTTGATGTATGATATTACAAATGAAGAGAGTTTTAATTCCGTACAAGATTGGTAAGAAGTGTGAAAAATTCAACAAACATTTTTTTTCTTCTTTAAATTCTGGATGGACATTTTTGAAATAATAATTAAACAAAATGTTGTATTATCAATTCAGGGTGACACAAATAAAAACCTATTCATGGGATAATGCACAAGTAATTTTGGTCGGAAACAAGTGTGATATGGAAGACGAACGTGTCATTTCATTCGAACGTGGTAAACAATTGGCCGATCAATTAGGAGTTGAATTTTTCGAAACATCTGCCAAGGAAAATGTTAATGTTAAGGTAATTTATTCTCATTTCTCATTTGAATTTCTATTTGTATTCATTATTTTGAACATTTTTTCGTTGTGAAGGCCGTTTTTGAACGTTTAGTAGACATAATCTGTGACAAAATGAGCGAAAGCTTAGATACAGATCCCAATCTAGTAGCTGGTGGGCCAAAAGGGCAACGTCTGACAGATCCACCTCAAGCTGGCCCGACCAACAATTGCAACTGTTAAGACATCAATTCCCAAACAATTTGTTCATTAAAACAGTAGCAACAATTGTTCATAGTCAGCATATTCATTTCCATTTAAGAAACTACCACATCAACAAACAGAAAATGGCAAGATAAACGGACACAACCTGAAGAAACAAACCGATTCAAACATAAAAGTAAGAAATAGAAAAATTTCATTAAAAAAACTTCAAATTCCAAGATGTCAGCAAGATAATGTTGAGCGTCGAGTCATTCACAGAGAGATAACCAAATAAAGTAACTTCATTAAATGAAGTTCATATTCTGTATACCACATACAAAACAAAAGCAGAGACTTAACAACCGACTTATTTCTTCAACAACAATCGATGAGTTAAAAATAATGAATAAAAAAACAAACAGATGTTTTAACAGTCATTTGATCCGACACAATTGAATTGTGAATGTAATGAAAATGACTAAATGGATTCTTTCTTGTGCAAAAAAAAAAAAACAAACATAACTAAAATCCAAACTATTTTATAAATGCTTTAATTTTGATAATGGAGATAAAAAGACAAACAGTAATAATTACAAACATTTTTAAACAAAAAAAATGGTCAAACATTCAGGAAACGTTTTGCACTTTCCCTTCAGGGAATCGCAAAATTGTTCGACATGCATTAAACACAATATTAATATGAACATTAATACGAAGATGACGAAAATGTTACCAAAAACAGCAACAGCAACATGATGAATACAAATTGTAGTAAATAAAAACACTACACATATCTATTTTCTTAAAGAAAACCAATACAACAGCAACAACAAAATATGGTCAATGATGTTGGTCATATGTTTGAGAGTAGGAACACCGATAAATCGGTTAGAAGAAGTTGTCAAGTATGTCGCTGCTTTAAGCGACAAATAAACTTAAAAAAAGAGCGCATAAGAATGATTTTTATGTTACTTTCGGTTGCAAAGCTTTCCAAAAATGTGGTCAGCCACTGCAAAGTTATGGAATTCAAAAAAACAGTTTCAACAAAAAAAAATCGAAATTTAAAAACAGAAATTGGTAGAGAATGCAAGGTTTTATTCAATTAAACGAACTCAAGTATGAAATCAAATCCCAAATTGTTGATGATAAATTTAAAGGAAGAAAATGCATCCCTTGAGAAAAATGAGATTGATCGAAAGAAGATAAATGCAATACTGTGAGGCGACTTCGAAAGGATATCATTTCATTTGCGGTAATGTTATAGTAGACAATAAAACTGAAGAAAATGATGTAACATAGATTTGGGCGTGCGAATAAACTACATACCTTTTCGTGCCATCAACAAAGGTGTACCATAGAATGTATGCATTGTGAAATGCAATACACAAACAAATGAGAACAAATAACACTCATACGGATCACAACAAACATAGAGTTACGAATTTTTTCGAATGCAAAAAGAAAATAGCACAAAGAAACAAAACAGAGAAAAAAACCAATAGGCAATGTTGATATAGGATATTTGAATTAAATTAAAAAAAAAATCGAACCGGAGAAAGTGAGGGAGAGTAGAGTGAAAAGTAAATGCATACATAAACGGGCGTTGATGAGCATTATGTCAACTCATGTGGAAAAAATGCATTGCGCTTGCAGAATATGCAATTTTCATGATCCATACCAGAGTAATATTACTTTCACCATAAAAGAGACCCATTTACCCAAATACAAATCTACCCCAGTCAGAAGCCAGAATAGATAGTCTTACCATATTGTGCATTTGATTTATAGCAAGAAAAAAGCGAATATTTTTTTTGTCTTTGTCCACACAGTTGAGATTTTTCAATGTTATTTTATTGCTCGTTTGAAGTTAATCGTACACAATGTTGAAAAACACCATTTTATGAAATACGAGTGAGAAACATATTATTGCGATTCGCAAGCACACATTGAAGCATTTGTTGTGAGAATTACAGGAATATTACACACAGCAAAATCGATTAATTTGGTGAATCTCTTGTCCTACCCAAGAAATAAAATTACACCTTGCAAAACACATATACCGACAGCAAAAATGCACATCTATTTTAGAAACAAGAAAAATCGAACAATTTCCAACAGATTTTTTTTTTTTTCATTTTTTTTATTGCTGGATTGGCCGCATGATTTTTTGAAGTAAAACACACAAGCAAAGGAAAAAAGCATTTTTAAACAATTGAACAATTAAGTGTAAATAACTAAAATTATCTAGATAATAATAAAAAATCATATGTACTGAAAAAAGGCGATAATCTCGGCAAATTAAAGGGTTCAGCAAATAACGTAGAAAAATATTCATCTACTGATTAATCGCCATCAATTTACAGCGCTCATGTACCACAACTCTATATCAACGGATTCGAAATATGCATTTAATGCCAAACCATTTTTGACAAGTTCAATATGGAGAGTAACCCTACAGTATGTAGGAGTATGTAAGAATTTCTTACACGAAATATAGTGCGTTTTACTTTGTTTTGTTGTTGTAGTGTTACAAGGAGCGATTTACATATAATTTATTCAATGCGCTGACACGATAAATGGCCGGGATTTTCCGCTATACACTCACACATTGAATAGCGTTAATTACACTCACATAAACACTATGATTCCTTCTTGTGAATTTTGATTTTATTCTGTTGCATTTCATTCTTTTTGACGGTAATGATGATAACATTGTTGTTGTCAAATTCTGCCTAAAGACATACGAAACGAAGAAACTTTTTATAGATATCAATTTTTGCTGCAGTTTCTTCGGTTGTTTATTTCTTCGTTGCGTTTAACATTACACGCCACTAACGAAAGATTTAAAGATGTCTTTAAAATTGAAAAATGTCCGTTTCTAACAGACCATGAATTGCACTGTATAACGGCTATTCTCAGCGCATATTCTCATCAGCGGAGTAAAGCAAAAACAACATAACAGTTAAATCCGAATGCATTGATAGATTTGTAGAGTCTTCCTTTGTTTCAAAGTTATAGTTAGGGTTGTTATGTTTTGCTTGGACGATATAAAACAAAAAAATAAATAAATGAATTAACGAAGAAGTAAATAATTTGTTTGAAAGCAATCAAATAGAAAATGGAGCAATCAAACAAATTACTCAATAAAACACAATTGTTGAGATGGTGCGTCTCTCTCAGGTAAAACAAAAAGCAAAGCATTTGTTAAATACACAACAAAAACCGAATAGCAAAGAATCTAAACGAGTTCAAAATGTAATTCTTTTCTTTTTTTTTTACTTATGAACATTTCCGCTGTCAAATTAACCAATTCACCCTATTCGCCTCTTTGTTCAATTGAAATTCTTTCATTCACTCTATTTCTCTACCGCTTATTCTTCTTTTATCTTCCTTCAGTTTTTGTTTTCGTCTGTTTTTCATTGAAAAATACAATTTTCAAAATTGAATCGAAATCATTTGATTGGCGTCTTCATTTGAACTGCACGCATTTCTCTAACTAAATCTATGAAAACCTTATCTTATTGGGATGAAATTACAAAACAAACAAAAAAAATGTCCAGCTAAAAAAATGTAATAGACAGCAAAAACTCTGCACCAAAATCCGTTATCATGGAATCACTCATGATTTCCAGTGAAAACAATTTTATTTTAGTTGCACCAAGACTAAAAAGTATATGTATAGATTTGTTGTTATAAAAAAATCGTTAAAGTATATTTAGCAAAATGATGAATAAAATGGAATGCAAAGTGAAAAAGAATTTTAAGAGAAAACCAAATAAACATTGAGAGGAGTATAAATGTAATCGAATTTGATGATCAGCCAATTGGGGTTGAGCTATAAAACTGTCGTTTATCCAATTCATTTGTGAAAAATGTTGAAGTACACCGCCATGATATGGAAATTCCACTTTTGATCCAATTGCTTTTTCTTTTTAAACGGCCATCATTTGGTGGCATTGATGATTTTATTCATTATCATATATCATTTGGCACAAGCTTTCCTTGCACATTTCCTTTTCAAATTAGATAAACTGCTTTTATGGTAGATTTTTTCTGATATACTCTTTTGGATCTCATTAACAATGACCAAACATCTTGATATCGATCAATCAACTCACTATCTTTCTCACATATAAACAAAATATCCCTCCTTCTCTATCTGACTCGAATTCATATCTCCAAGTATACATCTGGATATGATGGAGATGGTGATTCGAAATTCCCCTTCACCAAACAAAATAGCCCATCAATATTTACTCACTATTCTATCAATCTACAACAACTTACTTAGTGACTATATATCATTTAATCGAATCTATTTTTATCGACGAAGGAAAATCAATAACAACATCCATTATATACGAAGAAAACAAAATAATAAAATTTCCTAAAGAAACCAAACAAAACACAATAAAAGTACATCTTTCACAATTCAATATTATACATTAAACATTATCCTCCCCCAATTAATCACAAAGAAAAAAAAACAACAAACACTATTTGTAAAACAAGAATGAATTGTCCCATTCAACGAATTACCATTTAGAAAACTAATGACAAGAATGATAATGAAAACTTATAATTTAACAAAACAAAAAGAAAATTTTAATCTGCTGAAAATATTCAAATCAACAGAGAAATTTTGTTGCGAACATGTATGTTTGCCAATTGAATTTAGAAGATACATGTTATGATGCACTCATTCTATTATATTTAAAAGAGAAAGAAAACAAAAATGATGACAAAAATTACAAAAAAAAAAAAAATATCGTTAATTCAAAGCATTCGTTGTTCGTGTTTAATATTATCATTTTTGCCCATATAACGTAACTGTTTTAATTCGAAAACTAAAATACATACATTCGGAAAGAAGGCATCCATTTTTATTTTCAAAAATCGTTTTAATGGTAGAAAATCGGAACAGAAAGTTCATTTTTCATTTGAAAACCATTCAATTAATGAAATTAAACTGTTCGAATGGGAAGACGGAGCTCAATGTTTGTTTTGTGCATCAGTTGAATTTTCCATTGTTCTTCTTTTCATCTCACCAAACTGCTTGAATTTTGTCTTACCCATACCAAATATTTTATTTTGAATGTTTATTTTTATTTATCTTTTAAATCAATGTGTTCATAATGTTGAGAGAAATAAAACATACAAAAAAAAAATGATAAACAAGTTTTCGATGTGTTTTTAAGATTAAATTCTTTATGTCTGTGGCATATTTTACACACAAACAATATTTCGAAGAAATAGCAAATCAACTCCAAAGTAAATGTTATCCAGAAGAAATAATAAACAAATCAATGATTTCATCTTTCAATTTGATTATTACTTACTTGATAGAACAAGGCATTTTATGTCATAAAAACTCAAATGAGATACTTTTTAAAATCCGTTTAATTGTGACACAAAGTGAACTAACCTTAAAAAACACACAGAGAAACGCAAAAAAAAAAACAACACACAAACTATGTGGTCAATGCCAAATATGCACACAAACATTGGTCAAACACAAATTCCGATTCGATACACAAAAACATTATTCATTCTGTCATTTAAAATTAAACAAAGTGTATACGTGTGGCCGGTATTGTAATGTGCATATTACACAATGACCACAATTGAAACTAAATTAAAATTAAAATTAAAAAAAAATAAACGAATTGTAAAATTGTATTTAAAATTAATGCATATTATCATAATACATATTATATGAAAAAGTGTAAATTATTCTTGAAAATAACAACTATGAATATATTTAAAAACAGAAAGATGATAAAAACAAAACAAATGTGAGAAATAAAGTAAATTATATTGAGAATAAATTGTTTTTTTTTTTAATCTTTTAAGGTTTCGAATATTTTGGGCATTTTTGATTTGTAACACATTTTTGTCAAATGTTACACAAAGTATCAAATTAGAAAAATAGATGAACTGGTTGCAGTCGTAAGGGTTAAATGCAAGTTGTCTGCCTGAAAATTTTTCGCTCCGATTTATCTATCTAATAAAATAAAATTGTTGAACGTTGATTGTTCATCATAAAAACGATTTTTTCGAATATTTTATTAAGAAATTATTTAACTAAGGTTGCTAGAAAATCGGCGAATGATTTTAACTATGGTGTCAGCTTGCGGATTATTTGATTCACGTAACAGATCACAGATATCCATCAATCCATTCGGTGGAGAACCAGTCGCTCGACTTGTAATTATGGAATATAATGCGCCAATACATGCACCACGCTTTCCTTCATAGTATTCCGGATTTGGATCACTCCTAATGTTTTGAGTTAAATATAATATTAGATTTTGTTAAAAGATTTTTTTTTATTAATGAAAGAATTAAAAAAGAATTACGTCTTCAAAGAACCGTGTCATTACGGTCTCAACTTGAGACTCTCAAGTTTGCAAATTGAGCTTAGTCTGAGTTCTTAATAATACTTACGATAATTTTTCCAGCATATCAAATGCTTTTGCAGCTACCTATGGGACATATTTTCAAATGACAATAATGAAAATAATTTCGATAAGAATCAATTAGATTTAGCTACCCAATATTGACCAATGCGATAACATTCTATTGCAATCAATTGTAGCATCATTATGTTTCTAGAGTTTCTTGACATATAAAGAGTCCAAGCCTATGAAATTTAGTTCATTTTCATATTAAACATAGAAAAAATAAAATAAATTTCTTTTGACAAATGCAAAAGAAACAAGAGTAAAATGGTATTTTACCATCTATACAGAATTGCAGTTGATAAAATGAATTAAACTATCAAGTGATAAACTTCAGAGAGACTGCAAAAAAATTCGAAATTTCAATTTTACGGAACCAAATAGTTGTTTTCTCAAATGTGTCTCTCTGAATTTTATTAATTAACAGTATGGTTTGTTTTTACGTAGGCGACTATTTAAGTTTCTTCAATATGTATGTTTTAGTATTGCCCGATGCAAACCATTGTCATATTCATTAAGTTTAACATTTTGTAGCATAAACGTTCTCAGAACGTTTTGTCATTCGATCGTTATTTGTATTGTTTACCGTAACATGTAAATTGCGTCTCAGCCAAAAAATGAATTTTACTCGTGAAAATTTTCGAGCGATTATTTTTTTCCACTTTCGATTGGGTGTATCACAACAACAGTGTTTTGATCAACTTCATTTGGCCTTTGGCGATGAAGTACCAAGTCTTCGGACAATTTATAATTGGTACAACGAATTCAAGCGCGGTCGCCTATCGCTCATCGACGAGTTCCGCGAAGGTCGTCCAAAATCAGTTGTTGTACCAGAAAACATCGATGCTGTCAGAAATATGATAATGGAAGATCGTCATGTAACATATCACGAGATTGAGGCATCCCTGGGCATTAGTGCGACCAGCGTATTTAAGATTTTACATGAACATTTAGCTGTCAGAAAGATTTGCTCTCGTTGGATACCACATAATTTGACAATCGCTCAAAAAAAGGCTCGTGTCGATTGGTGTAAACAAATGCTCAAGAAATTCAATCGTGGTGTTTCAAAATCCGTGTATTTTATCGTCACTGGTGACGAATCATGGATCTACGCGTATGAGCTCGAAACTAAACAGCAGTCGACTGTATGGGTCTTTCAAAGTGAAGATAACCCAACAAAAGTTGTTCGAGCTCGAAGTGTTGCGAAGCAAATGGTCGCCTGTTTTTTCGCGATAAGTGGTCATGTGGCAACAGTTCCACTAGAGGCTCGTAAGACCGTCAATTCTGATTGGTACACCACCATTTGTTTGCCCGAAGTGTTTGATGAAATAAGAAAAAACAACCGCCGTCGCAAAATAATTCTTCATCATGATAATGCGAGCTCTCACACATCTCATCAAACAGTCGATTATTTGATCGGTCAAAAGATCGATTTAATGGGTCATCCGTCGTACAGTCCTGATTTGGCACCCAACGATTTCTTTTTATTCCCGAGCGTGAAGAATAAACTGCGTGGTCAACGATTTTCATCGCCCGAAGAAGCAGTTGATGCGTTCAAAACACACGTTTTGGAGATATCACTTTCGGAGTGGCATGAATGCTATGACAAATGGTTCGAGCGAATGCAAAAGTGTATTGATCATCATGGCGAATATTTTGAAAAACAATAAAACCATTTTCGATGAAACCCCATTGTCTTATATATGTTTTTGAAAAAACTTAAATAGTGACCCTCGTATCATCTGTATTTCTATAAATGGTAAAATGCAATTTCTCTCTGATCACTTTTGATTTTGTCAAGAGTAGAAAATGTTTGCTCTCTTATGAAACCTCTTCAGAATTGCCACATAAGATGTAACACTTGCACAGGACCATACTAAAAGATGACTGTTGTATGATGAAGGGGTCAGTGATTTGATTGAATAAATCAATGGCTTCTTTGTAGTTGCCAGTGGCAGCTTTTGCCTACCGAAATACATATTTTTTACAGTTAGATATATATTGTGTTGATTATCAAAAACACTGATTACCTGCGCATAATTGTAATTGAATACATCATCGTTGACGAAAAAACTACGAATAGAATTTAAATACACAAGAACCTCCTCAAATTGTCCATAAAGAAAGAATGCGGAGGCCATACATTGACGACCACCAATTGTGTCCTAAAGATTTGAATCGAAATGACGTAAAAATATTTCAAACAAATTTAACGCAAATGTATTCACTCACACACTCAGTTGCACTTCCTCCTACTAACTGAAAATATTGCCTATTTGTCAGATTTTGTGTCGACCAGAGAAATAAAATAAATAATTTGACATGATTATATAAAACAATTTGATGTGACAATTATTAGATCTTAAGTTTGAACTATTTAAGGTAAATCTGCTTGAAACTTTACATCGGTTTAATATCAAAATAATGAACTTTACCCAGCATTCTTAAGATGTTCCCGCTGAAATTGAAAAGTAAAAAAATTAATTGATTCTCATTCACCCTGAATTATTATTTTTTTTTTTTTGATAAATAAAAATAAAAATAAGATTGACATAATTTTGAGCTATTTGTCAGAAGTCTTATGAAGAGTGGTAATTGTTGAAAATACCACGGATTGAGATTGATAATATTCCTTTTTGTTAATGTCATTCAAACGTTCACTTTCAACTTATTTTTGTCAACACTTAATAGTTAAAATGGACACAGCCTCAACTTAATCAGTAATGTGCGAAGAGGGGGATGATTTGGATGAGAAAAACCCGAGAGAAATTTTTTCAATTTGCTAGGGATTTTCGCTACAAAAAGTGACTTTCAAAAAGGAACGAAAATTTGTCCGATTTGCTAGGAAATTTTTTCTTTTTGAAAAATCACCCCCCTTCTGAAAAAATTAGCTCGCCCCTTACTGTGCTTGATATTACATTACGCGCTAGGGGAGAGAAACCAATGCTAGTTTTCTGGTTCATAGCTAATTTACTAGTTTATTGCTTGAAAAATCTAATAATGTTAATATTTGTTTATGAAAGTGCTAGTTTTCTAGCTTCTTGTACTTGAGTGTAATGACATTTTGTAGTTTGAGATATTGAGACGTGGATTGAATTATTATTCATTTATAATAATATAAATATTAATTTAATTCCACTTTTTAAATATAAAATTGTACATAAAATGCTAGTTTTTTTTAATAGTCGAGTTGTAAAATTGATTTTATCATCACATCATGACACAATATCAAAAGTTTTACTCAGTTTTGCTAATTTTTCTAGTTTTTACTAGTTTTTGCACTAGGGGGTAGACACATGGAATATTACTTGAGATATTCACCGAAATTGAAGGTATTCTTGGTATTCTCAGTTTTAGACGAAATGTCAATGCATTCAGCAACGTCTCACAATGTGCATATATGAATATTATCTTCCAAATATTAAAAAAAACTTTTTCTACGCTATTAAGTGTATTATTTCAATTGGTTTAATAAATGCAAAAACAATTTTGATAAAAATGACAGAAAGAAAACAGAAAAAATTAAAATAAATTTCGAAATGGTGAATGTTAAAACGAAATGGAAAAAACTTGAAATCTTTATTAGCGATATCAATTTGACATTTGGTAATCACGGTATTCACATTTTTAGTACAAGTAATCTTCAAATAAGTAAGTAATTGTCGTATTTGAAAATAGATAGGTATTATGACAATTCATTGGTATTCATTCATTCTCTATTGTGTCTACCCCCTAGTTTTTGCATGGACTATGAAACACTAGCTAATGGTTTCCGGCTCCTAGATTACGTGTAAAATATTGTATATTGTAGACATCGAGTCTACGTCAACAATAATGACATTTATATGACCATACCGAATCCAGCTTTTGCGCCAATAGGGTGTGAATAACTCCTTTCAATATATATTCTGATGGAACAGATGGTTTCAATATCTTGCCCATTAAATCTTGCGCTTTGTCTACATCACCAGATCTCAAATAATAAATAGTGAGATTTAGACGCGCTTCACTTATTACATCAATAAGTTTTGGTAAGATTTGTAACGCCCCTTCTCCATTTCTGAACACAACCAAGTTGTGCATAATCAAATCCGTACCGAATATACCATCAATTCTAATCAGATTTTTCAATTCATTTTCAGCAGCTGTTGCATTTGTTAGTCGAAAGCGATTGCAAGCTTTCAAATTGATAGCTATAATGCTATCTGGATACTTAGTCAGATACAAATCAAGTGCCTCTTGAGAATGATCGAAAAAGTCTAATTTGTAAAAGCAAAGAGCCAAAGAGATGTTGAGAGCAATGAATTCCCTGAAAAAAGAAGGTAATTGTTACGTAAAGAATATCACTGTTAATTATCATACTGTCATACTTTTTGTCTAAAAGAATCTTTTTGTAGATATCAATCGCATCTTGATAGTGAGCGCGCAAATAGTGCATTGATGCCAAACTCAATTGATCTTCCACAGTGTCCAAAGACAGTGAACCATGTAGCTCCAATAATCGATCTTCATCATTCAATTTGTGAGCCAAATGAAAAAGTAGTCTGACTTTCAATGAATTATTTGGAATGTCATCAACAATTGATTGCGATTCAAAGTACATTCCTGAAAATTATATTCGAAATAATAATTATCATAAATACATTTCAATTGTGTCAGACTCACCCAAATAAAACTGGCATATCGCCATATTCATCATTAATGTATTACTGTCTATTCTCGAGGTATTACTGTCTTTAATACATTTGTACTCATTTAAAGCCTCTTTATAATTTCCCAAATGGAAATTGCAAAATGTTTTCCAATGTTTAGACAGCTCATCATTTCCAGAAATATGATCCTATGTGTGTTATAAATAATCGATAAAGTAATTTTAAAATAAAAAAAAATATCATGGATGAAAATCACGAAATTCAATAGTGGGTTTGCGTTCAAAGTGAGGAAATGCATTTATCATTGTTTTATACGAATGCCCGAGAATGAATGTGAGGATTATACCATAGACTTTTTTCCATACATCCGGGGGTATATTCAATTATGGCCTTGCCGAAGCATGAGTACCCCTTGGTATAAATTAAACTTGGTAAGTGGAGTTTATTGCATATCGCATATTGATGACTATGAATTATGCAGCAAGAATTTACATAAAATTTCAAAAAAAAAATCTCACTAATTAGCTATAATTTTGGAAATTCACTATGAAGTTTTTTGAAGCATATTGCTTAAAACGATGCCTGCTACTACTGCTGCTCGATTTGAATCTCAAACTTGCTGAAGCATGCTTGAACACTTACTCGCTTCCATGTATCAGGCCAATAATGATTTTACGTTGATTTTTGTTTCTTGGGAAGTAAACGATACTAAAATTTTAGGCTTACAAATGTAAACTACATTTTCATACATCTTAAACTTTTGAACGTTTCGAAAAACCAAACAGTGATATTAATTTAATTGATTTAGAAGTAAATTTATCAACAGTAAGATTGTGAATTGAAAAGTAAACTGCTTAATTTGAATTATTTTAAATAAACCACCAAGGCGAAGGAACGCTGTATTATTATTATTGAATTCGATATATTCGATTCCTAATATGTATTACCTCTTTTTCCAATAATGTTCGTATATAAACAATGCCACCAGTATAGTCACGTTTCATAATCAACTCGTCAAAATCCGGAATTGTAAGTTTTGTAAATTGCTTTCCCAAGTTATCCCTGCTAACACGTGACAAAATCTGTAAAGAAAAATCGCTTAATATTGTTTTTTTTTTTTTTAATTATTTTGTGTATCACCATTTTTAGAAAATCCAATTCAAACACTATATAGTTTATTTATAATATTGATTTCTGGCGAAAAATGTTACACTTATTTCGTTGCCATGGAGATTAATTTTGACATTTGTCGGTAAATTTTGTTGTTTACAGTTATATATATGTATGTATACTTAAAATGAGTAGCGTAAATGTGCATTCGCATTCGAATGTCCCACAATATTATGAAAATGCCGAATGAAATAAAGGTAACAACTGTAACCAACCCAACGTTATACCAATTTTTATACCCAACATTCGAGTCTGACCATGAAGTGTAGTAAAGAAATGGATTCAGGATAGAGAATCAAAAAAAATTATAATGAATATTGCTTTAGTAATTCGTTTTATTAGGTACATTAATTTGACATTTTTATATTTCATTTGATATGTGAATTACTTCTGTGAGTGATTTTCTCCACAGCTCGTCAGATAACATCTTTTGAATGGCCTATTTCTTATTGAATTCAATATTATCCAAATCAATTTGCACATTGGCAACATGTTGCAATAACTGCGTCAAGTATTTCGGTTCTTCGCCAAACTGTTTTCCACGCATGTGGTCAATCTCAGCTATATCTTTCTTAAGCAATTGATACATAGCCACCACATTGTTGTATCGTTTATCTTTAACAGCAAGTTTTTTATACATGTTGATTTTCTCATCAATACCATCACCTCCAGCACATACCCAATTGGTCTGTTTATTAAGATAAATTGAATTGTTTAAAAAAAAAACTATTGTAATTGTCTGCTCTCTACTTACACTAAGTGCCAATAGCGCTACCGAAAGAAGTATTCCAATCCAAAGTCTCATTTTGACAAATAAATTTAATGTGCTCTAGCGATAGAATGATCACAGTACTTATATGTAATACGACTCGAAATGACGATTGGAAAAAACTCATTAAAATTTATATTTCACACGCCTCAATTTGAATTCTCCAATAATATATTCATTATTTTATGACATGTTCTTCTGAAAATTTTTGCCACCATTCTTAATTTACATACATTTGCTCATAGCGAAACTGTTTATGACGTAGTGAACATGTTATTGTTGTAATTTTAATTTGAAAGTTCTTGAAATTGAAATTCCTACGTGTTTGATTTGTTTGTTGAAAATACGCTTTTATTTGAGTCAGAAACTGTTTCTCAGCATTGAGTAGTACAGCTCCACCACAGTAAGGAGCAAAATATCAAAATTAAAAAATTAATAATTAGGAGAAGTCGGGGCAAACTGCCAATGTAATGCCGTTTCAAAACTCCAACGCACATGACGGAACACAATACACATCCTTGGATAGTGTAACAGCCCCAGGATATAAATGATTTGTGGTTAAATAAATAAATAAATCAAATAAAAGATGACGATTTCCACAATTTTTCATACAAACTTGTTTTATTGGACCTAAGAGTCATAACTAACTTAGAATAAAGAATAAAAATAGAATTTGAATTATGATACACCAAAACGTTTTTCTTTTAGCGATGACGGCAATTGAGCAATCATTGTGATCGGATTCACTCCAACAGCTACCAATTCTGAATCGCCTAGCCAGCTGATATTGAGCAGATGCTCATTATCGAAGCGACTTGTACAAACTAAATTCGCCACATTTTCCTCGTCATCGTCACCTGACGCTCTGGCTCGTTTGGAATCACTTTTTTCGTTCGTCCGTGTCTGAAATTGTTTTAGATCGTATATGAGTTGCAATATTTACCAATTTTTTTTAAAATTTAAACGATAATACATACCACTTGTTTCTTTAAAACAAACAAATGTGTGTCATTGTGTACGGTGAAGATGTTTTCATTTTTTGGATCGGGTGCAATGTTTTTGATAGCAAATCGATCCTGACCATCTACAAACAGTGTTGTTGTGGCACACAAAAATTTCATTTCCTCCAAATGATATTCAAATATTTTGCCGTCGGCAAACGCTGCCACTAATTTTGGTGAATTTTTGTGTATGGCAATGCTGACTGGTGATACATGATACTTTGGTAAATTAATATGATGTGACCAATTCCGTTTGTTTTGACGCCACACGGTGATATTACAACAAATATCCGCACACACCAAGTAATTGCCACAATCTGATAAAATCATATGTGATATCGGTCCTTTGAGCGTTTTGTTGAAATCAATCGAACTCTCAAAGTCGATATCAATGGCATCTTCACTTATAAGCAATCGGAATACATCAACCGTTAGATTCGCTTTTGCCAAGTAAATCGTTTGTGAATCTGATGAAAATACACTCTTACGACATGCTGTGAACTGTTCTGGCAGATCTTTCATTCGATCAATGAGGCTGACTTTGTTTTTCTAAATCGTGAAATAAAAATTAAAAAAAAATAATTCACAAACATAGCTGCTTCAATGCAAATAAGTACCTCATAGGTCAAATGAAACAATCGAATAGTTTCGTTAGTTGAATACAAGAGAAACTCCCCATTTGGTGATATTGTTGTGCATACAATCAGAGCATCATCGACTGTTCGTAGCTCAACCAATTTATGTAGATTCTGAAGACAAAAAAGAGGTACAATTATTTAAAAAAAAGAAATCATGATAAAAATATTTTCATAATTACCTCTTGCAATGTTAAATATTTCCTCTTTTCTGCTTCATCATCGACAAGTTGAACGTTGGCAGTGGGTACGCCCAAACGCCAAAGTTCCAAATAGTTTGGATATTTTAGCAGTAAGACTCGTTTTTCTGCTGCCAAAACGGATGACGGTGACTCCAAAAATGGTCCATATCGGCTGATTATTTGTGTTCCCTTAATTTTCGATGAATTTGACAGTCCCAAATATCCATCAACGCCACCGGAGAAAATGCGATTTCCAACAAATTGCAATGCTTTAACATCATGCTCATGAACTGGACGCTGAATGAATTTCACCCAACTCTTTGTAACTGTTTCGCCTCGCTTCACTTCTGTCAATGCGAACAAGCGAATTTTTGGATTCACACCGGCGCACGCAAATATCGTTTCATCTTCATTGATCGCCACCGATAAAACATCTCCAACGCTGGTCGCTTGAAAATTATCAATTTGTGCACCTAATTTACCATCCCAAACGGTGACATATCCCCTTGAATCGCCGGCAATAATCACTAAATCCTTTAATACTTGTAAACTCCAAACAATTGTTTCTTTCTTTGCTTCACTACGGCCCACCGACATTTTATAAATGGCATGTCCCGTTTTCAATTCCCACAATCGTATCGCATCGGCCGATCCGGTGGCCACAAATTCACCACTCGGATCAAATTTACAGCATAAAATTTTGCCATCTTGTTTATCAAATATTTTTACAAAATTCACTTCATTCTCATAGCTAACATCGTACAAATTCAAAAAACCGCTATCGGTGCCGGCAATTAAATGGGTATTTTGTCGATTAATGTCCATACACCATGCAGCATTTCCAGTCAACAGTAATCTATGCTTCGGTTGCTGTGTCCGCAAATCATATTCAATCAATTCACCCGTTAATCCGGTGCTGAATAAACGATTTCCACACCATGATATCGCTTCGATCGATGCAATCGCCGAACCAGCTATCGTTAATTGTAAATACGGTGCATGTTGAATGTTCCAGATTTCAATCGATGCATCATCTCTGTAAATGGAACATTTTTTTTTTTTATTATAAAAAATTCGATAAGCATTACACAAGTGCTCCACAAACCTGGTCAATGCCAACCAATTCATTTCTGAGTTGTAAGCCATGCCATTGATTGCACGCGGTGGTAAGTTATAGAATCGTGCATTGTGTATTTTACACAGGCCTTGTTTTTTTGCCTCAACCGTCATTATTGACACCGTTCTTTTTCTGCTTTCACAGAACACAAAAATCGAATTCAACCGGAATCAATTACAAATCTATTGCTCGGATTAAATTATTGCACTTTGCAAATCACTTCATATAGGGAAAAAAAGCAATGTGTCCAAACGCACATGTATACAAAAGTTTTTGACAGTTAGACACCATGCGAAGACGAAACGATTGTTGCCAACTTCAGCATAAACAATGCGTGTGATTGATTTTGACATTAAATTGTCAATCGATTTTGTGTGTAATGCTGAAAGGCCTGTGTGTGTGCAAAACTCAATCAAAATATGCAAATCGAATATAAACAATAAATTACCTCAGTGCTATTTTGCATCGCAAAAACGTTCTGTTTTTTGTTTGTTTGTTAATAATACTCTATCTCTTTCTCACACACGCATACACCGTACACGCACTACTTGCCCATACATTTGTGCGTTACATTTCTGGCAATATGAATAACTAAAAGCATTGTTATCAGCAAAATTACTTAAAGCATTGTTTTTAATAATCAAAATTATACTTTACCAGAATAATTTCGGTTTCTGTGTCAAACAAAAGAAAAATTGACTATTCCACGTAATCAAAATAAAAATAATATTAAAGTCAATCATGGTATTGTTTCACATCAATTTTAACATTGTATTCTCGTTACTGGGTGTGTATTGCCGAAAAAAGCATTCTTACCTTATCATTATCAAGTTATTGATTTTAATAATTCGATTAACACCATTTGTTATTGTTTCAATTTTAGCAATTTTGGTCGGTCAATTAGTACAAAATGTGCATGGATCACGGGTTTTGGAGTTGAGCGATCGATTCATTGACATTAAACAGGATGGTCAATGGTATTTGATGTTCTATGCTCCATGGTGTGCGCATTGTAAACGTACTGAACCAATCTGGGGTCATGTTGCTCAATCTCTAGTCAATACAAACATTCGCGTTGGAAAAATTGATTGCTCACGTTTTCCAGCCGCCGCTCAGCATTTTAAAGTTCAAGCATATCCAACGATTATGTTGTAAGTACATTATGAGATTATGTCAATAGTTGGATTTCGATTGAATTATCCCTAAATACAATATTGCATTTTCCAGCATCAAAGGTGAACAAGAGTACATTTATTCGGGTGATCGGGTGCGTGAGGATATGCTAGCATTTGCATATCGAATGATGGGACCGCCCGTTCAACTTGTCACACAAATTGACAGTTTTGACATGTTGAAATCGCAAAATGATCTATTTTTTACATATGTTGGACAACGAAATAACTCTTTGTGGAATAAATTCTATCAGACTGCCGAACATTTTCAACCTCATGCATTTTTTTATGCCACACATCGGGAATTGGCCACACCGCACTTTCAAATTGATACACTGCCAACGGTGTTGGTTTATAAAGAGAGCAATCATTATCATTTTCCATGTAAGAATTCAGTTTTTTTTGGTTTCACTTTATTTATTTTTTTTCTATTTTAATGGTTTGATTCGATTTTCAGTGTCAAGTGATTTTCATTTGGTCGAAGATGAATTTTTGAATGAAACACTTTTTAATTGGGTGAACGAGGAGAGATTTACAGCATTCCCAAAAGTAACACGATCGAATATTTTTCAAATCAGTCAAACACAAAAGTATCTCGTGTTAGCTGTTGTTGAAGAAAATAAATTAAATGAAATTGCAAGCCATGAATTGGAATTTCGAGACATGATTGAGGTGATTATACGCCAAAAGTACGATAAATATCATCAAAAATTTCAATTTGGTTGGATTGGTACACCAGATATTGCGCATTCAATTGTTATGGATCAATTGGCAACACCACATTTGATCGTATTGAATACAAGCACATACGAACATTACATACCTGATGATGAACCAGAACGACTTACCGGTGATGCCATCGAATTATTTTTAAACAACATTCATCATGAAAAAGTCAGGGTAAACAAATAGTTTTCATTTTGTGGAAACAAAACATAGTTCCAAGCAAACAAATCACATTTTTATCCAAACTGTGTTTTTTTCTTCTTTTTCATTATAGAGCTATGGCGGCAACTCGATACCGGTTCGAATCTATCGAACTTACTTTGAAACTAAGCGATTTTTGGTGGATATGTGGCGTGGAAATCCGATTTTAACATCAGTTCTCTTTGGCTTGCCACTTGGATTTCTCTCACTAATCATATACTCCATCTTCTGTGCAGACATTCTTGATGCCGACGAAGAGGACGAAGACGATGTTCACGAGAAAAACGAATAAAAATTGTGTGGCGCTAGTTCTTGCTCCATAGCCAAAAAACATATATATCTCGTTAACTTCCAAAGGGTTGTATTTTTATTTTCTTGATGGAATAGCCTGAATTGGAATGACCTGCTCTCCTTGAATAATCTAGTCGATTTAACCAGTGCTTAATTTTGAATTTGTACTGACACTACATTCGTTCATGACGATCTTTTTGCGAGCGTATACCATTCCGTCCAATCGGAATGTATTAGCTTCCAGATTTTATTTCAAAATTACCGTAAATTGATAAACCGAAGGATAAAAAAGATGTGTTTTCAATTAGCAAAATAAATCAAGTTCCGAATTTCATGAACAATTCGAAAGGAAGAATTGTCAATCTAAAGTGCCAACTACATTTTGTATTGAGAACACTTTTTCATCCCATTTAATTTATTTATTTATTACAAAACATTTTTCTTTGCTCTTTGGTATTTTAGCTGAAAAAAAAACACGAAATTTCATTCCAATATGTCGTATTTGTGATTTTGATTTTGAATTTCGTTTGTCGTGTGTTTCACTACCGAAAAACAACAAATATTTATACATTTTGTAAGATGTGAATGAAATAAAATGTAAAATGTAGATAAGTAATTATTTGTTTTATTTCAAAAGTAATTTATATGAAAAATGCACGCTCAACTGAAATTATATGAACGTCTCGAGGTAATCGTTTATTACATTTTTGAAATTCGATCGTTAACAGAAAACTGGTTAAGAAAATGAGTAAATAGTGTGATAAAATGTACAGAGGCAATTTGCAGAGTGAGATCATATAAACATTGGATTTTTTATTGCGACTCTTACAATCCGTAGTCATCTTCATCATCTGAATCGATGGCAGCACGTCGACGATCAAATTTAACGCTGAAAGTTTTAAGAGGACATTGTGAATTTACATCTTCGAGTATCCTAATTAGTGTCGGTTCATCAATTATGCCGGGTATCTGGCCCGCCTTTTTCACGCGTACAATCATTTCTTCGACCATTAGTGCTCTTTCCGGTTTATGGAGTTTCAATGCGTTTACTATACGGATTACAAAACAAAAACAAAAGAAATTTTGTAAGATGTGAATGACATTTTATTTCAAAAGTAATTTAAATGAAAAATGCACGCTCAACCGAAATTACATGAAATTATTTATTACTTTTTTGTATCAATAAAAGGTTTATGAAAAAAAAATAAGTAACTCGATCGTTAACAGAAAACTGATTAAGAAAATGAGTAAATAATGTTATAAAATGCACAGAGGCAATTCGAAGAGTGAGATGTGACAAACATTGGATTTGTTAGAGCAACTCTTAGCATCCATAGTCATCTTCATCGTCTGAATCGATGGCAGCACGTCGCCGATCAAATTTAACGCTGGACGTGGTCTTAGGCATTTGTGAATTGACCTGTTCGAGCATCCCGATTAGTGTCGGTTCATCAATTCTGCCTTGTACTTGACCCGATCGAACCGAGCGTACAATAATCTGTTCGACCATTTTCGCTTTATCTGGTCTACTGATTTTCAATGTGTTTACTACGGATTACAAAACAAAAACAATAACAAAAGATATTTAAAAAAGAACTATCTGGAATTTCAAATTCCCATTTCAGACTTACATCGGGCGCGAGCATTTTGATCCATACACTGTGATAAAAATCCATTTATTGCTTCGTCCTGTTGACGAGCCTGTTCTTGCGCTGCCTTTTGTTCTTCAGCACTTTTTCCAGCCTGTCAAAATAACGCATACGATCAAAATGAGGCGTAAAAAATCAAATTTAATGAACTTACTTGTCTTGCTCCGGTTGCAGCATATTTTTCTCTTGTCCATTCTAGTCCATCCATGTCTTTGATTTATATTGATTGATTATATTTTTCTTTAAATTCTAAAAAGTCTTTAAAATTGTGGTGTATTTAAAATTGCTACTAGAAAAATAAAACACTTCTTCGATCAAACCAAATACAGTAGTGAATATGTATGTGTTAATGATTCAGAGATTAATTTTTGGTTAAGAACAAATAAGGCTTAAAATAGATTTGCATCAAAAACCTAATGACAGTTCTTAAACAGGTTTATTATTTTGCAGTATACCATTGACACTTTTTCCCCGTAGAGGTTATGAGGCTTTTTGCGACAACAACACTAATTACACATATATATCAGTTATAGACAGTTATAGTGTTACCTGATACCAAAATTCCGCATATTTTTCCCGATTTTCTTCCATTTTATCATTTTAAATGGTGAGGAAAAAACCAGAAAGACAAAATATAAAAGAGAATACAAAAAATATCTCAATTTTAAGATAATTGCATTTGAATGGGTCCGGTATTTTTCAGTTGACAATTCAACATACAAAGCAACAACAACAAAAAAAAAGATCAATCGGCACTATGTTCGTTTGATGAATGACATTGACATTTGTCTAAAAAGATTCACAACACTCTATTAGAACCGTCAATTCTCTATATCATTTGTGTATGAACTAATGTATATTTTTGCCCATAGTTCGATTGGTTTTTTATTCTCATTCATTCGTTCATTTCGGCTGTGTTAAGAGGTGTTAAAATTCGTAACATAAAACATCATCCAGCATAAATAGATAATTGAACAAAAAAAAAATCAAAATAGTCAATCGATTCGTAGGATTTAAAGTCATTGAAAGTGAGTTACCTCAACACTTACGAGAGAGAGTGTATTTGTATGTGTGGATAAACACACATTTTGAAGTATTTTCGATAATCTATGAGTGATATTTTGTGTTTATCGAAATTATTTTGCTATTAGATTTTAGAAATTTTACTGTGCATAGAAATAAAACAATAAATTACAAACCAAACAACACACAAAATATCATAAAATGTCGATGGAGCCGTCAGCTTGTGAAGGTGAGTACAAATACACGGAGTGTTCAATGACAATTTTTACATCGATACACTTCAATTTATGTTTGAAACATTATAATTGGAATGTATTTCGCTCCTAATTTTATGACTGAAACTTTTAATGACAAAAACCGAAAACTTTAACAAAATGACATCCGTTTTTTATCGATTTGTTTTTTTGTTTGTCATTTTAGATTTGAAAGCATTCGAAAGACGTCTAACAGAAGTAATATCCTGTGTTCATCCGTCAACAGTTCGATGGCGAGGTATGTTGTTGATGATCCTTTTGTAACCTATTTTCCCATTGCTAAATCATTCCTACATTTATTTAACATAGTTATGCTGGCAATAATGTCAACAATGACATCGATAGGTGCATGGTATTGGTTAACCGATCCAAAAACAGCCGTTGTTCCATTAACAGAATCATTACTAAATCATTATATATTTGTGATAGCAGCATTAATTTTGTGTAAGTATCTTATGCTTTGCAGATCTGTAACTATACGTTCAAATTGAGTACTATTCATAGACGCTGGTGGCAAAAATCAAGTTCAAGTCATTTTGTATTGGTGCAAGAGAAAATGCTACGACCATTTTTGAAAGTTCATTTTTATCTGGCATCTGAAGCATATCAATTATAGATGTTCTGAAGGTGACATATTTAAGGGTTGTCACTTCCATTTTCATCGGAAAATTTGGCAACGGAATGCATCTCTTTGTAGCTAGTTTTAGAACTTTAATTGACACTGATTTGCTCATGTTCTATGTTTTATATCATCAATGAGTGCGCTATATTTTTTTCTATACATAACTCGAATCGATTAATAATTTTATTATGGTATTTTATTTTTTACAGTATCGCTTTTTGTTATGGGCATCCATAAATTAGTAATTGCGCCACAGATATTGACATCGAGAACACGACAAGTGCTAAACGATTTCAATATGTCGTGCGACGATACGGGAAAATTGATTCTAAAGCCAAGGCCAACAACATAGTCAATTGTGTCCAATTTTTTATCATATTATACTTCGTTTTCATTTGTTCGTACCAAGTTCCTCTCTCCAAGTTCTACCACAACCACTCTATCAGCTATAAATATCCTTCCTTTTCTTCGCTATGTTCATATCAACATAACAATGTAAATTTTTTCCGCCATTTCTATGTACATTTAAAAAAAACCATAGCTTTCCATAAAATATGGCTGAGAAAATATGTAAACATATATGTTTTCAAATTGACGACGAACCGTTTGATATACGGATTTTATTTGTAAAAAACACACACACACACAGAAAACAAAAAAGAAATAAATTAGCCAATCAAAAGAGATTCGTTTCTATAAAGAAAATGAACAATTAAAAATCAATTAATTTAAATAATATAATTTTCAATCTTTTTGTTTTTCTCTGCATCAAAACTTGTTCGTCGACTACAACACACTTGCCTTGATTGTTTTATACATAAATATGATTTAAAAAAAAAGAAAAAAAAAATGTGTGAGAAAAAGAAAACAAATATGTCGAAGTTACATTACAAATCGAAAAATGTAAAATAATAATTATTAGCCAAAAATTTGAATATTTCTATTTTCTGGATTTCAGGCGAAACGGTTATTCTTAGCTTGTATCGCATTCATAATATTTTTTTTTTTTAATAGAACAAAAAACTGTTTCATTCATTTAAGTTTTATATAGTTTTTGAATGTAAAAAAAGGAATAGACGAATGTCGAACATTTTAACGCATTCTTACATTTGTATAAATATATTGAGAGAAAAACCAACTGAAATAAATCACTTCCAGTTTAGAGCTACGATATCATTCATTTTACAAACCATTTATTATCGCGCGCGCACAAGCCAAACGAACACAAACGATACATTTCATCGCAAACTGCGCGATCCATTTGTTTTGAATGAAATTTGTGTATTTTTTAATATAAGAATTGAAATTGACATTTTTCCAAATCAAATAACAATTCGTTTTATTTTCGACACGATTCTCGAATTCAAACGAATAAAAGTGAAACGAATGACAAAAGGGAGAATGAGACACGTAAGTGGTAATTTATTGTACAGTACTTTGTTGGTACGTTATTTTGATGAATTGTTGAAGTAATGGTATATTCTAAAGAGACTTTCAAATCTAAAACAAATACTTCCATTTTAGTACAGAAACACACATACACACACAACGCGCGCAAATTAAAGCAATGCAAATTTTTTGCAATATTTATACTCATTGTGAGCATGAGGTGAATTATAAATTCGATTAAATATGTAAACTGAAATCCATAAATTTTATCAACACACATACACAAAATAATGTTTGTTTTCGTTTGTGCATTGATTAAGAGATTTTCCGAGTAAAAATTTTTTTTAGTTTAATTTAACATTGCAATTATTGTCAGCACATTAGAAGTTTATAAATTATTTCATTGGATTTTCCTAATAAAAATGAAAAAAAAAACAAGAAGTTACCGACCTTTGGCCCACTTTGTTATTCGCTCAAATATAAATATACACACATGGAATTTAAGTCTAATCGAATGTTAACAAATTTGTTCATAAACAATAGTATACATCTAGTAAGGCAGTAGTAATGTTTTATAGAAAAAATGGCTCATGAATAAAATCGATTCACTTCTTCGATGATTTGTTGTGAATTTTCCTCATTTACTTCAACAAAACGTTTTTGACCGCGGCTGAAATAATAAATGTCACCGGTGTAAATATCAAACCAAAGTGCATGAATGTGTAAATCATGGGTTTCGAGCCGTCGCTTCAAAAATCCATACGATGCAACATTTGACACTGAAATTTTCGAACAAATTTTAATTAGTTAAACCTCTTTGATTCACCATCATTCAATAACTCACATTGTTCCAAGGTATTGATCTGTGATAATTTATCTTCAATGCCGAATTTATTCTCTGTATCAATGTAAGCGATGAATTTCCGCAGCGGCGTTTCCGACGAAAAAATCAGTGGATCTTTCATGCCAGCTTCTTGCCACTTTAAAAATCGATCTAAACTCGAATCAGTGGCATGTGCACATAGCCAAGCCTTCAATGGTGATATCCTTCGTTGATCGGCCGATGCTTTCTCTTTATCACGTAATGAATACAACAAATTCATCGCTTTACAATCACTATGACCACAAATAATTATATGCCGAATATTATTTACAACGCAACCCAATTCTAGTGCGGCCGGTTCACAGCTAAAATATTCATCTTGAAAATGTTGCGCGTGCGGAACTAAATTCCCAGCATTTCTCACTAGAAAAAATAGAAAAGATGACCAATTTGAAAAAGAAAGTTGATGGACTTGAATTAAAAAGATTTCTTTGATTCTTACCAACAAACATATCGCCGACATGTGTCTCAGTAAATCTGGTCGGAATCATTCTACTGTCCATGCACGTGAAAAACACTGCTTTTGGCTGTAAACAAACGAAATAGGTTTTCATATAAAAAAAAAACATCGTTGACATTGAACTGATTTCCAGCACACTTAAAAAACAACAACAACTTACATGTGGATCATTTTTCACTTTGATGAATTCCTGGACCATTTGTTCTCGGGTCGTGTGTCTGTATCGCATAATTCCCCGAATGATTCGGTCCATTTTTTGTCGTTTTTTCGTTGTGAAAACAACAATTCACAAGTAAAAGTATGCAGCAGGTGTAAAAAAATGTGTCACGGTAAAAGTTTGGTGGTAAATTGAATGCAATACACGAATCGATTTATGAAAATAATTATGCTATGACTTTTTGTATGCTTTCACAGTAGCGATTTAATCACTGGAATCATGTATATTCGTTGTGTTGTTGTGTACGTTTTATATAATTTACTTGACTTTGATAATCAATTAAACGGGCGTGAGAATTATGAGTCGTTGTTGAGTGAGTATAATTTACGCTTAAATGCGTTTCAATCCGCATATGTTGTTATCAACCTTCTTTCTTCTTCTTGTTTCGACCGTAAACGACACTGTTTTGCAATACTTACATCAATGAAATCAAATCAGCTGATTAAAATATTACAATTTCGCATATTCGAATTCATGTGGGTACGATGTAAATAATTTTGAACAAATTTTATTTCAACAATACGACCATAGTTGTCGCTTTCAATGAATTTTTCATGAAATATAGATATTGTGACATATTCATTTCACTTGAAGTCGTTGTCTCGTGTAAACAAATGAACTTTGATATAAGAAAACATGACGATGACGACATACACTTGAATTGATTGTATTACAATGTTCACAGACAAAATCTATAAATTTAGGCTGACGACATTTTTGCTGTCGCGATCGAATGTCGAAAATTATGTGCAAATAAAAATTATTTTAATTCTCAATAATATGCGGTACACGCGGTCACAGATAAACAGTTTGGCATCGACAAGCGACATTCAAATGTATACCATACATACACATCGTGTATTAAACAGTCTGTACGATTCTGAATACACGTAAAAAGAATATGTTTTCAGAATATCTCTTTATATTTTGTCTCTGTCTTTTACTCTCACTTGCCTTGCCATTAATCGCGTGCCCTAATCTACACAATATTTGTGAACTATAATAGAGAATTCGGTTGAATTATTTGTGCTCTATGCTTTGGCCGTTGAAATGTGTGACAAAGGAATGCAGTGATACACCATATGTTGTTGAAATTGAAATAGAAAATTGGTTGCCCATTTTAAAAAAATAAGCTAATCGGAGCAAAATTAGTCGCACTTTGACATGCTCAACTGCAACGCAATTTTATTCAGTTTGAATGTTTTGTCTCAATAGCAATTGATTTGTTTGTTGATAGTTTGATGTCATTTAATATGTAAAAAGTTGAAATTTCATCATTGGAAACATACGGGCCGAAAGTGTATTTGAATTGACAACTGATAAACGTTGACAATATGATAAATGTGACAGTCATATGGCAATACCAGCGACAACTTGTGGCACCATATGATAATATCATAATGATATATTTGAATTTTTGAAATTGTGAATTGTTAGTCATGGATGGGAGTAAATCGTTTGAAAATAAAAAGATTTATCAAAAATTGATGATTGGGGTGCTGTTGGAAAGGTTTTGACCCGGATAAAGAAACAAAGACACACATCTAATACGTATGATAAATATTATGTTTGCTATACAGCCACGAGCGAAGCCAGCGTGAAGTTGATAGTAACTAATCGTAACTAAATAGTAAAATAATCTTGCATTGAATTAACAGTCTTAAAGGAGTGATGACTAAACCAAAGCAACGACATTTTTGCAATAATGGATTGGAACAGGAACAAAAAAAATCGGCGAAATTGATATGAAAAAGAACTAAGTTGTAAACAACAAACATTTTTTTGCGCACACTGTTTACGCACGGAATGGCACAATTTCTTTTGAAAGTTAAATGGCGTAAATGTGATAAATGTAATCGATTTCTGGTAAAAACTGCTACTGATTAATTGATGAATTGAAAACAATTGCTTTTTTGGTAGTTAATTCAACTCAACAAAATTTATTCTAAATTAAGATGTATTCTATGCAGTGAAGTGAACCGGTTTGATATTTCTCATACAAACCGATTTCGGAGCGGTATCTCGGAATTGGTTTCGTTTTGTGTGAACGAAGCGGAGCAAGCGGAACGTTCCGAGAATGGTTTTTATGATGGCGAAAGAATATTATTTATAAAAAATGCATGAATAAACTCACAAAAAAAATTAAAAACATATGTCTGGCCAAAACTAAATCAACAATTGTATCGGGTAAAAAGTGCCAGCACAAAAAGAACATTTCTTATACATATCATTAGAATTCTTATGGTTGCATACAAGCCAAAAGAGTTTCTGTTTATAAGTTTATAAATATTGATCTTTTGCCATTACAAAAAAAAAACTGTTTTGATAAAGATTATTCTAATATATTTTTTTATTCAATAAATTCAAACGTTTTAATAATTAAATTTCACGGAAATCTGGAGCAAAATCTGTGTTTTTATCTTGCGGCCAACATTTCAATTTCTACGAAAGACCGACCAACTATTAATAATTTCAATGAACCAACGACCGACCACAAAAAGGTATTATTTCAACTTACGAACGAACGACCGACTGTTTCATCCAGTTCAAACTATTTTTTCACAATTTTTATTTTTTCAAATATAGCAGATAATAAATTATATAATTAATAACGGTTAATATGATAGTTTTTGTTCGTTCATGAAATTTCAAATAATGTATGGTGAGATGCTAGGGACTTTGTGACTAGAAAAGATTTGCTTATGAAAGCATGAATAAAGATTTGAAAAAAAGATTGGTGAAGATAAAAATTGAAGGTAAAATTAAACATGATTGCAATTCATTGAGAGAGATTTGATTAGCAAAGATTGAAAATAACAATTCTGAGAAAAGCGCTATCGATTGACAAAAACCAATTCGAAGAAATACATATCGCTCGATATTCGCTAAAAATACGCACAATATATTAAAAGTGCAAATGTTCATAAGTGAAATCATCTTTTTAATATTGGCAGCTTGTGTTTAGTTAATTTTGGATTTGAAATAATAAAGTAAATTAAACGATTTGAATAAATTGTAATGTAATAAATTGTAATACATACGCCAAAATATCGGTGCAAGTAAGAGGCTCTTAAACTAAAATAACATACACTGCGCCAAACTCAATTCTAAATAGAACATTTTGTCATTGTTAGTTATCAACGAACATGGAATTTCCAGTTAATAAATATGTGTTTGTTTTTTGAAGATGTGTCAATCTCATTTTTATCGCATCCAAAAATGCTTATATATTTCAGTCTCAAAATTCAAGATCAATAATAAATCTCAAGTATAAGAACAGATTTGGCAGAGAGTATTACTATTAAAATTCAAAATGAAATTCTTAATACTCGTTATTTTGGGATGTAATTAATAATTGTTCTTTTTTATTATGTTCATTATTATTATTAATTTATATTTTTCAGTCTTCATTTTACAATGTTCTTGTAATATGGAATATACGTTAAAAGGTACTGTGCAAGGCATACTTACTTGAAAATTACTATTCCATTACTCTACAATTCCTGATCCATTCCTTCGATTCATTTTCCATTCTGTTCCATTACTCATTGATTAATTTCCATTTTTTTCATTTTTTCCATTCTTTTCTTCTGATCAACTCTAGGCAGGTGTTAGCTATGTAGATAGTGCCAGATGGCCCTGTTACATTGCAATAACAGATCCTAGTGCTAAAGAAAGTAACATGCTTCACGCTTCAAGTAATACGGCCATGTGCAAATTTGCCAATCAATGTAAATTATATAAGCAGTCACTAATAATGAGAGCAAAGGAAGCTGCCGGCTCCAACGATATCGTATATGTTGCTCACGCTGGAACTGATGCACAATTTTTTGACGACAATTATCCTGGTTGGAATATCTAAAACTATGATCATGAGAAAGAACAATGCCAAAAAGTGAGCCAGCGTTTTTATGCATTTTTATTTTTTTTTATTTCCATTTCATGTGTAAACAAATTGAGAAAACATCACGAGTACCAAAATAAAAATTCCCCGGCTCACTCGTTATATGAAAAATTGATATCCTTCGTTATCCGCAAAGAAAAAGAAAAATATTGTTAATTGAAGCATTTTATGGACATACACAAATATAGTCATAATTCAGTTGTATTTTATTTTCAATTTTCACCGGATATATAAGCAATAATAATTTAAGAAAAGTTTGGTCATCGACCAAGTTCGGTTAGATCTTAATAGTAATTTTAACTTACTTAAACCTAAAAGTATCTTTTTAAAGTGAACACAACTCGCTCTAAATATTGGCAGGAAAAGATGTTCTTCGAAAAATCAAAAAATGCCAATTTCAAAGAAAGTCAATCTCCGCCAATATTTAATATTGACGGTTTGTATTTAATAAATTCTTCTTCTAAGGTATGCAAAAAATTGTTACTTCGTCGATTTCTCAATGACTGTAAGTTACAGTCTGTAACTGTATAAACGTAAATACTCCAAACATTGTTTTGTTTTTATAATTTAACGGTATAATCATAGTTTCGTCATCATCGCCGATAAGAAATATTTTATGGAGAAAATCGTGATTGAAAAAACAAAACTTTGGTTGAAAATGTGGAGAAAAAAAAATCCCGACTAGAAAAATTAAAAAAAAAAACAATGAAACTTGAACTGGAGTTGGCCAATGGATGCGTTTAATTCACCTGTTACACAAAAACATACCCAATTCGATGTTGACTTTGAATGTTTGTTTGTGTTTTTTTTTTGTGTGAATTGCATAGATTTTGACAACTGTATCAACAGATTGCTTTCTGTCACTCAACATACACACTAAATAACATCATAGTCACTGGAGACAGAACTCTGAATAATGATTCGTCTTATATTGTGTTTATCTGAACGCAAATTGGCAACGTAAACGTCATAGTCGTTGTTCTCGTTAGCAAAGCACACGTAAGACATATGTGTACATGAAACAAGATCAGTGCGTTCATCATCTAATAAGTAATTTGTATGTTTGAGTAAATCTGTTTTATTTTTCATTTCTCTTTCTTTCATTCGGTTTAATCAAGGAAAAACAACAACAACAATAACAACGTCGTTTCCACTTGTGTGTGCTCACACTAATTTACTCTCAGTCATTCGAACATTGTTTTCACTGTTGACGTTTCACATTTCGTTCAATAGATATATCATATTTACTTTTTCTTTTAATTCACATTACTCATTGTACGAAACTTTGTGCACTGTTTTTCTCTTTCTCTCTCGCTCTCTTTGTTTTAGTGAAAGGCAATAATAATAAAATAATAAAATAATGTTGAAAAACGAATTAAATGAAATTGCCTAAAAAATGAATAGTTGCCAATTGAATTTGCTTGAAAGATCAATGTGTAATTTGTGAAACAGCACATAGAAAGTGAACGAAATATAGTATACAACGAAACGAGAAGAAGCCTATCTTAGCCATTAAGGATTATTTAGATGATTTTTTCATTAATTCGGAATGAAGCGACAAAGGTAAGTTTTGTACACTCTCAAATAAAGAGAAAATCATTTCATCTGAATAATGTATATATTGGCACAGAGTGCGAAATGCAGAATATCGAGAGTTATTGGAACAGAACGATGCGGACGATTATGATCAACGAAATATTCAATTGCAGAATCAACAGCGTAAATTACGTCGAGAGAATGTACTCGAGGCTCAAATTCAACCCGGTGACACACTCCAAGCAATTGCATTACGGTACAATTGTACGGTACGTAAAAAATTGAGTTTTTTTTTCTATTTTAAGTAAAAGAATTTGGGAATGAATACACACAGTGTGAATTTGGTTTATCTATATATTTATGGTCAGGTGTTGGCCACATAACAGATAAAAAAATAAACATCTCGGGCTTATTTATTACAACAATAACGGAGCACACAAAAAAAGAAAATATTTAGGTTTAATGAAATGTGTGTTCAAGGCCCCGTTGTAACACTGTTGTGTGCACACGTAGCGAAAATGAAATATATTTTTTTTGTGTGTTTCATTTAATTAATTCACATTGTGTACTTTTCTCTCTGAAACACGCACGTTAAAGTTCAATAATTTACATTTTCTTTCTTACAATTCTCTCTCTTTTTTTTGTTGTGGTTATTACATGGATGCACATACAGATATCCGATTTGAAGCGTTTGAATAAGATCGAAAAAGAGATTGAGATTCATGCACGGAAAACGATAAAAGTGCCAGTGAACGCGCATACAATTTTATTGCAAACAACGAATTTTGATGAGCTTCCAATTGTTCACAAAAGTGGTCAAAGTAGTCCGCATCATGGAGGCGACAGCAATGCCAATTTAAATTTTAGTTCTAACGATAATATTATACACGACATAGCAGCAAATACATCACATCAATTACCAAATAACATTTTGGACGAGAAATTATTGGTGGCATCGGTTAGTTTGGCATCAAATGCACGTCATAAATATTCAACAGCGTCCACGTCAGGGAATAGCTATCGAACGATATTGGCAACGGATGGCAGTAAACGATTAAATGGAAGCACAACCGACGATATCGATCCAAACGATGATGAATTTAATTTTACCGATCCTTTGATCACACCATTAGCCGAACCCAACGAACTTTATACGGATGATCCGAGTAGCATCACACGTCATAGTGGACCGCACGCAATTCGAGGAGCACCACGCAATGATTTCACATGCTCTGGCTCTGATTGTGATATTTCATGGATATGCTTGCTAGTCTTTATATTGGCATTATGCTTTGCAATTCCATTAATTTATGTCATTTATATAGCCGAACATCCGGATAAATTCCATCTAAAGGACACCGAAGCATTTGTAAATGGATAGTCATTGTATTGTGTAAATTAATCTACTGTTAACAAACATTTTTACTCATATAACTCCACTAAATATAAAAAAAAAAAACAAACATTGTGCTCGATTTCTATTCGAGCTTGACTAATTCGATGTATGTAGAAGAAAAACGGAATGCGCAAGAATGAGTCAAAATGAGTCAAAATGAAAAAAGAATAAAATTGTTAAAGTTCCAATATGAGCTTCAGTTTTGCATCTTGCATTGATTGATAAGATGACTGAAAATTGATGAAAAATCATGTTGATAATTTTGTTTATAATTTTTTTGAGTTTCGATAAAAAAAAATGAACTAAGTGCGTTTTTTTGTACATAAATGATATCGGTTATCATTGAAGGAAAACAAAATTAAATTATGATGACTCCAATGCACGAAATATGCTATGATCATTGGCCAAAAATTGGTCGTTCATTGTTGTTGGCTTCGAATTCGAAAAGATGCGACACAAAGTAAAAGATTAAAGCAAAAAAAAAAGAAAAGAAAATGAAAACGAGTGAATGTGTTTCGTACCGAGTGCCTTTTCAGCGTAAATCGGCAACCTATATGAAATATATTGCGTGTACGTAGAATTTGCTGTTATTGGGGTTAAATACATATTTGTATATTTTATTAGAACGAAAAACTATAATGAGAAATGTTCAAAACGAAAATAAATGAAGTAAAATAAAAAAGAAAACATTTTTATTAATTTATAAAATACTTGTATGTTTTATTTCTTTTCACATCGCAATAACATATCTAATATAATTCGAGCGAATGCCTGACGTTGATGTAAGTCGTTGAAGCCGATTTAAGTTGACGAATTACGTCATGAAAATGGTTCCATTGATGAATGCATTTATTAATTTCCTTTGTCGCTGCTGCTCTCCTCTCCATCAGATTCATTACCATCTGACTCATCACCATCTTCTGATTCTTCATCGTCATCTGATTCGTCTTCCTCTTCTGAATCGATATATTGATGAGCGCGATTTGTATTTTTAAACAATTCATCATCATTGTCTGAACTATCATCGTCTGCATAATAGTTTTTCGTTTCATTGTTATTTTTCGTTGTGAATTTCTCGGGCCAAATACCGTCTTTGGTGAACTCTTTTATGTGTTGTGGTGTTAAAATGCGTACAATTTCCGCTTTCACTTTGTCACCTTCATCGATTGGTTCGACAATCACAAAATCACCACGTTTCACCCAAACATTTTTCCGATATTTTGTCGGCATTGACACCAAAAATTGTTCACGGCTTGTGTCAGGCATACCATCATTGGTGGCGGTGGTGGCGGTTGCATCGGTACTTTCATTGCCATTTCCCGCAATTGGTTCGGCCGATTCGACTTCATGCAAATTATTTCCACGACTGCCCAAGATTCTCACAATTTGCTGATTCGGTCCCGGCGGATCGAAATCATCTGCTTGTATTTCTTTCATCACATGTTTGCGCTTTGTTACTTTGGACATCTCTAACAACTTCTTCTACTCGTTCAGTCAAAACACGACTATCAACGTTTGAACAAAAAAAAAAGAAATTAACTTTGATATTTTATTCTTTTTTTATTTTGGATGTGCAAACGGGACAGATTTTAATCACTTACGCTTTGCATATGGAATGTTTTAACTTGTAATAACTTTGAATCGTAAATTTGTTGATGATGCACGAAAAATTGTTGGTCTGAAATTACTTTGAGCATGCTGGATTTAACAAAGTTATTTGAATAACACATGTGAAGTGTATGTAGTTACCCGTCAAACGTCATTCATTTATAATGACTATGTGTGTGCGACTCGTTCATATAGAGGTATTTATGTTTCCTTGTAAATGAATGCGTTTGATGCCAACATTCTCGCAAAATTGAACAAAAACACGAACAACCAGAACATAATGCGGTCGGTGTGTAGTTCGGAATGAACGATTGTGTCGAAGTATTGAGCGAGAACGAAAACAACAACAACAATAACAAAACAAAATAAGTGGATAAACAACATTACATAAAAAACGAGAGAAAGAGAACTTACACTATATTGTGTATTTTGAAAGTCATCGAAAAGCAATAACTTATTTTTATCTAAGTCGGAATTGACAACGGCAATGTCAACCAGATTTGCATTTTTTTCAGTGTCTAATTACTATAATTCGAACATTTTGACTGCATGCAAAATATTTTTTATACAAAAACAACATTGACAGTGATCATTTGTGCGGTGACGACACAAAAAAAAAAAAAAAAGAAATCATCATTGTACATTTTTTTCGCATTGCCTTGAACATCCAGACATACAATCCGGAATACACGTAGGTAACGTTGAACAATTCGGTGTTTTCCATTGAATAAAGCATAAGGCAATACATCTGTCTCAATATTTTGAAAGTTTTTTCGGTGTACTATTTATTTCGGAAACTAGTTCAATCGCTGGAGTATTGTGATAAGATTACTTTCGGAATAATAGATTATAAACATCACATTTGGAGTGTATTGTCATGTTTTTGTTTTGAATCTTTTATTTTTGCCATATGTAAACTTAATTGAATACATTTTTTTTTGTAAAATTTACTAAATTAAACGAAAATATATTGTAATGAATGATTAATGTTTATCGTTTTTTAGCATCAAATCATTAGTTAAAAAATGTCGTTGCGAGAGTTAATCGATCCGGAATGTGGTGGTGCAAATCCATTGATGCGATTGGGAAATCAAATTGCACACGATGCAGCGCACAAAGACGATGGTATATCTGGTCGACCGATGCCATTTGCCGAAGCATCAAGTCGGCCACAGCAAAGTTTCGGCGAAATGAGTCAAAATCAATTGGTCAATGAATTTCTTGGTCAAATGAGTGCACCAGCACCACAATCATTTCGAATGGACGCTTTACTACAAGAAATGCGAGAAATCGATGCACAAAACTATCCACAAGGTATTGTACAAGCGCCAACAGTTTCGGCCGAAGTTCATAATGGTTTGACATGGTCAAATGAATTTGGCGCCAATGATGTGAATGCATCTGTACAATTAGATTCGAAAAGTGCACCAATCAAACCAAATGATGAAGAAAAGGTGTATATGAATTCATATTTTATATTTTGCTCATAAAAATCAATTCATTTTCTTATATTTTTTTCATGGTTATGGTGTAGTTCTGGCAAAATCATCCCCATTCTATAAATCAATCCGTAGCACCAGCAATTTCTGAAACACACACAATGCCGTTAACTACCGGTGAATTTTTCGATGCAACCCCCAAAACAAATCAATTTGTATGTTTAAATGATTGAAAACTACACAAATTTCGCATTTTTACATGATTGACTTATTTCATTCATAGGAACCGTTGAGTATGAATTATGCTGGTGTTGCTGGGCCATCAGAACATTACAGATACAACGAGTTTATGCGATTTATGAATCGTGTCAGCGATGGTGATGTTAATATCGAAAATAGACAACAAACATTAAGGTAAATAGAATTTTATCGGAATATGTTATTTGGCAATATCTTCCTGGCTTTTAACTATTTTTCCTCTCTTATTTTCTTCCATTCGTTGCGTCGATAATGAATGAAACGATGCACATATGTGGCACTAATTTCTACCGTAAACATGGTAATGGATGTATTAACAATTGTTTATCGTTGTCTATAGTCAACAGACGTTTGAAACATGGACAGATGAATTTACAACACACGCTGGTGAAGCCGGTGCAACAGCGTCTACATCAAATCAAGATTCTGATTGGGTTCGTGATTTTGCAGAGCATAAAGCAAAACAAGGTCAATTGATTTTGAATTTTAATCGAAAGTAATGTGTTTGAACTAAATTGGTTTTTTTTAAATCAGATGTGGATAATGAAGAATTCAATAAGCATTTTTGGAATCGTTTGCAAGACGAATGGAAAAAAATATCTGACAATCTGGATGATCAATCACCATGGCTTTCCGAATTTAGTGAATATTATGACCCGTACAAAGTATGGTTTGATGTAATCCATTGTATAATCGTTCGCATTCGTTTGAAATTTGAATTTTTTTGTCTTCTTCTTCCCTATGTACATCAACAGGAATACACGTTCGATGAAGAAAATCCAATGTTAGGTGTGGAGAATGTTTTCGAAAAGGGCAAAATATTCCTTGAACAAGGCGATATTCCAAGTGCTGTATTGTGTTTTGAATCGGCCGTGCGTGAAGATTTAAATAATGCGGAAATCTGGGAACTATTAGGAACATCACAAGCTGAAAATGAAAAGGATCCAAATGCCATAGCAGCGTTGAAAAAGTCCCTTGAATTGAATCCATCAAATCGAAATGTGATGATGGCATTGGCCATTTCATATACAAATGAAAGTCTTCAAAATCAAGCGCTACGCATGCTTATCGATTGGTTGCGAACAAATGAAAAGTATAAAAATCTGGTACCCGCCCATTTTAGCGATGGCCCGAAACCAATGAATCCACAAAAAATGGCACATTCATTGATAAATGGACCCGAATTGGTTGACGTTCAAGATATATTTATTCAAGCGGTCCAACAATCACCGGACGAAATCGATGCAGAAATTCAAGAAGCACTCGGCGTTCTATTCAATTTATCATCCGATTATGAAAAGGCAGCTGATTGTTTTAAGGCGGCACTACAAGTGAAACCAAACAGTGCCAAAATATGGAATCGTCTAGGTGCAAGTCTTGCAAATGGAAATCAATCGATTAACGCCGTTGATGCATATCAACATGCGTTGGCTATTGAACCGGGCTATATACGTGCCCGATATAATGTTGGAATTATTTGTATAAATTTAAAATCATACAAAGAAGCCATCGAACATTTTTTGCTAGCACTTAATCATCAAGCTACATCAATGGCACGTTCAGGCCTGCAAAGTGTTAAAGACTCTAGCAATCAAATGTCAGACACAATTTGGAGTACACTTCGAATGGCCATCTCGCTTATGGGACGAATGGACCTTCAAGAGGCAATTGATAGTCGCGATTTAGATGTACTCAATCGAGAATTTCAATCCGTTGATTAAACATGTAATTTTCTTTTTATGTTCACAGGGGCAATTTATTGGTGTGGAGTTGTTATTTACAATTTGCTTTAAGTGGCTTATAAATAGAGATCTATATGTTGTTATAAAAATGTGATTAAGTGAAAAGAAAAACATCCGATGGAAAATTGAAAGTCAATGAAAACACAAACCGAAATGATTTTTCACATTTTTATAGAATTAAAAAATCAGGTAGCTTGCGAATAAGAATTAAAACAAATTGACATTTTCATATAATATTTAATACGATGCCAAATTTTTACAAGAAACAAAAAATCTGCCAATCAAAAGTCTTACCTTTTTCGTCAATTTTCATCGGAGAACTAGCACTTACATGCGCTGGAGACATCGAACAAATGTTTTTTTTTTTTTTTGCAAGTTAGATTATAATATAAATAGATTTTTACTCTTTTTGGGGGATCAAATAAAACGAACATAGATTGTTTGTGTAGTTTGCGTGTTTTATTAAAAAAAAAAAAAAAAGCTTTAGGATTATTGTTTTACTTTTAAATATATTAATGTAAACAGTTTTATTTTCTGTTTAATAAGTCATTGCATCAGTTGGTTTCATTATGTCATTTGGTCAAAGTTTTGATGAATTGGTTACATTGTATGATTTTATTTTAATTTATCAAAGTCAATGTTGTGGACAAAATTAAGAATATATTGAAAGTGTGAGAAATAGACAAAAAAAGTGTCAATATATGCGAAAGATGAACCTATAAATCTATATGAAGTCGGTTGCTGTTATTCTATTCAGTCGCAGAGACTGTCAAAGAAACAATCTCATGCAGAAAAAAAAAATCTACAAACTAATTTAAAGCTATAAAGAAATGATTGTTTTGGCTTAGACTTAAAAGACGAAAAAAAAAAATATATTTTTCAAAATAGTTATATGAAATGTGAAAAAAAAAATGTTTGTTTTGCATTCGATTTAAAAATCGGCGTCCAATGAGAATGAGCCGGCATCTTCCGACTTCTTTTCGGTTGTCTTGTGGCTTTTGGCATATTCGCCGACACGTTTTTCGAAGAAGTTCGTCTTGCCTTGCAGCGAAATGAAATCCATGAATTTGAATGGATTTTTTACCTTGTAAACTGGATCACAATTGAGTTCGCCCAGCAAACGATCGGCAACAAATTCAATGTATGTGCACATATCGGCACAGTTCATACCCAACATTGAAACGGGCAATGCAACCGACAAGAATTCCTGTTCGATTTTCACCGCTTCAACAATAATTTCACGAACACGTTCCGGTGATGGTTTCTGAACGACGTGCTTAAACATCAAACATGCAAAATCACAATGCATACCTTCGTCACGTGAAATCAATTCGTTGGAGAATGTCAAACCGGGCATAAGGCCACGTTTCTTCAACCAGAAGATCGATGCAAAGCTACCGCTAAAGAAAATACCTTCAACAGCGGCAAATGCAACGACACGTTCACCAAATGTGGCCGTTTTGCTACCAATCCATTGGAGTGCCCAATCGGCCTTCTGCTTAACACATGGCAACGTTTCAATGGCATTGAATAAAAAGTTACGCTCGTCGTCATCGCGGCTGTATTGTTGAATCAACAAACTGTACATTTCAGAGTGAACATTTTCGATTGCCATTTGAAAACCATAAAAGAAACGGGCTTCAGTCACTTGTACCTCTTGACTGAAACGTTCGACCAAATTTTCATTGACAATGCCATCGGATGCGGCAAAGAATGCCAACACATGTTTTATGAAATTACGTTCGTTTTCGTTCAATTTAACGTTCCAATGTTCCATATCCTTTGTCAAATCAACTTCTTCGACCGTCCAAAATGATGCTTCAGCCTAACGATACAACGATCGATGTAAAATGACATTTATTTAAACCACCATAATTTAATCATTTTGAGAGCCAAAGTAGTCTTACCTTTTTGTACATGTCCCAAATGTCTTTGTATTGAATCGGGAAAACGACGAAACGTTTTGGATTTTCACGAAGTAATGGTTCAAGTTGTGGATCGAATTTCATTGTCGGTTCGGATTTGTGAGCGGAAAATTCATTTTTCTTGGCAATTTCGTTGTCTTTGCTCTCTTCCTCCATATTAAATTTACGCATTTTATTTGGTGATGCACCATCAACGGTTGGACCAGAAATCGCTTTGCGTGGACTCTAAAGACGATGAAATTGAGAATATATAGATAAAAGATCGCATTTTGTTTCAATAGTTTTTGTTAGTATGTTGCATGTTAAAATAACAAAAGACAGCTTATTTCGTCGAAGATTAGTCAGATTTTGGTTTTCTTATAAATGTGTGGTATAAAGCGGACTATAGATTCTTACTAACATTCTTTACTTCCCCTTTTATTTGTTTCACTTAATTTTCCTATTCCATGATTGTTGCAGTCAAATTACAGATTGTTTAAAACAAATCCAATAAACATATCAATCGCATTATTTTCGCTATTCATTATTTGATTGGGTGAAAAAAAAAGAACGTTTGACGCAACAAAAAATATGACAACTTTATTATGCAAACAATGTGAAATCAGAAACTTGCGCATGGAAACAATCGAAAGATAACATTGCGCAATCATCATTTTCGTTCAAAAATAGATAAACAACAGGACGCGGAGAACAAATGCGAAAGAAAAAAAAAATGGCGCGAAAATTTCCCGCGCAAAAAAAACAAGTGACTCGTTCAATTTCGTCACACATACGCATGATGAATGTACAAAATGAACAATTCCGGAATAGCAAAAAATGTTATTGAAATGCGAATAATCGAATACATATTTACCTTTAAGCTAAATGCTTCCATATTTTCTGTCAAATTTTCTTTGCTTCCTAAAACAAATCGTTCATCTGAGCGAATCATGGTTGATGGTGATTTCGCTTTTTTTTTCCTTCACACAAAGAAATTGACTTTGAAACTAATGCAGAAAAATTCGCTTTAAAAATTCACAACAACTTCAACACCGTTGCGTCGAACAAACAAAAATTGTATTTAAAATAAATTATTTGTGCAATGCAAACAATTTCCAAAACTTAGACAAAAAAATGTTGTTTGAAATTCTAGAAATGTCCTTAGTCAATGAACAAAAAAAATTGATGCTATTTTATGAATTGATTTAAATTCGTGTCCGATGCTCTCAAACTGTTGCCAAATAATAGCCGCCCGATGAAAATGTTAGTTGACTTTATGCATTCGATTGTCACACATTGAATGTTTCTGGCGGCAGAGTAACCCTAAATTCATATGATTTTTCACACATTTCGTATCTGAATACTGGAAAAAGAGCGCGTAACGTTTTCATGTCGATTCATGTTTGTGCATGTCGTACTTAAGATGTGCGGCGAAAAACAACCGTCAACCGACACAAAATAGTTTCTGCTTTCCCCTCATCGCATCAAACGTCCAATACCATTTGAGACGTACTCAACTGAACCTAACAAATGATTGCGTTCAAATCGAAACCAAAACAGAGTACTATGTAAAACATTCGAAAAATCGATGAGAAAATGACTTTTATTGTTGAAAGATGCATTTAAATGTGTCATTTTTGGTTTTGCCACAGATGAATTTCTATCTTAAGTTCTTACATAAACATTTTCAATGCTTATATGAGCTTCTTGCACTTGAAAGTAAGCAATATGTATGTGTACTTTTTTCTCTATTTTTTTTTTTTTTGTAGCTAAAAATGAGCGAATTTAAAATTCATTGTATTTTTTTGTGTGATGAAAATCCTAATTATCAGCCGCGTCAAAGTAGATTATTTCAAATATCATTTGTGAGGGCTAAGTGCACTTAAATAGAATTTCGAATATGAAGCCACAAAAGTACAATCAATACTTTGCGCATTTTTCTTCTATTTTCGATTTGAACAAAACGAGAGCGAAGCGATTCAGACAGTGTTGTTGTTATTGAATGGTGTTGATCAACGTCAAACTCACAAACACATTTAACTCATGCCGCACACAAAGACATTGCTGTTACGAATGGTAGCCAGCACCCGTACATGTTGTGATGTATTTAACAATAAAAATGTCATTGTGCATGACTTTTCTGCAATACATACAAACGTACAGATATCGAAACCATCTCAGAGTCGAATTGCCCCACTCACATTAGTTCATTCTTCAAACGATACACGCAGCGAATTTGCTGTGAAAATCTATACAAATTTAGAACATTATTATTTCTTTCTCTCTCGCTAAAAAGAGACCTCCACACACACACACACATAACCGATAAAATATATTGGACCAAAGCAAAAAAAAAGCAGCACACAAGGAGAAGAAAACGAAAAAGAAGAAGCGACATTAAAATAAAATAAAATACGTACGAAATAGATGTCGTTTATACAACAATAGAAAACAGAAAAAAATCTAACACGAATTGGCGAACAAACCGCAGAGAAAATTCATTTCACACAGTAAGAACAATCGCAATTAGCCGCAGACAAAGGCAGCAAAAAGAAATTTTAAGTGAATCAAACACTATTGAAAATTTTCTCTCAAAAAATTGAATTTTTTTTTTATTTTACTTACAATTTGGTTGGTAAAAAGAGGGCGAATTCATCTCATACAGTGACTAAGCAGCGCATTATCGTCGTCATTCAATATTCTATTAACGAAATTGAAAGAAAATACAGAATTTTTTTTTGAACAAGATAAAGTGCTTTGAAAAGCCACACATTGAATAATACCTTTTGATCGGCTCGAGTGTTAAATAATTCGAATCGTTTTAAATTCTATAGTTTTGTGGTGTTTTTATTTGACAGTAATAAAATAAATATGGCTGCACTGTCACGTCGAATTGTAAAAGAAACAATGCGTTTGCTGCAGGAACCAGTGCCCGGCATCAGTGCCGTTCCCGATGAAAACAATGCACGTTATTTTCATGTCATCGTCACCGGACCATCAGATTCACCATTCGAAGGTGGCCTATTCAAATTGGAATTATTTTTACCCGAAGATTATCCAATGTCAGCGCCAAAAGTACGATTCATTACGAAAATCTATCATCCAAACATTGATCGCTTAGGTCGGATATGTTTAGATATATTGAAAGATAAATGGAGTCCAGCACTGCAAATTCGCACCGTCCTATTGTCTATTCAAGCTTTGCTATCAGCACCAAATCCAGACGATCCACTTGCCAACGATGTGGCAGAACTTTGGAAGGTAAACGAAATCAAACTGCAACTGTTATTTATCACAAAATTTACTGTTCGGTTTTCATCATTTTTGTTTTGTTTTGTTGCATTATTTTTTGGCACAGGTGAATGAAAGTGAGGCTATCCGTAATGCAAAGGAATGGACTCATCGATATGCAATGTAAATGATGATTTTGTACATGAGTTTCGAGAGGAGGAGATTGAATCGCGGGCATGCGATCCACTAACGTTTATGGTAACAAGAAAATAAAAACAACAACATTTAAATGAGTAAAAGTTTGAAAGATGAGATGATAGAGTGAATAGAATATAAACAATTTTCAGTGTGTGTTATCATTGTGGAAACAGAAACTTAAACGATTTGTTTGAAACAAGGGCAATTAAGAACATGCAAAAATAAAAACAAAGTAAATAAAAATCAACCACAAGAAAAGAAGAACACTACACACAAAACAAGATTTAAATTATGAAACATGAATGAGATACATGGAATAATTTGATTTAATTGGATTTATACTGTACTATGATAAAGAAAACGTTCTAATAAATTTTTGAGGGAAATAAATTAAGAGCAAATCACTCAAAAAACCAAGAAACACACAAGCAAATTAAGCATCAATCCGATTAATTTAAAGAATAAAAATATTTACTATAAAACAATGAAAAATAAAAAGCTACAACAACAACAACAACAAAATTATAAAAAATGGCAAAAATAAATCATTTTATATTAGTTATCAATTACACCATTTACATTTGATTTGTTTACATTTAACGACACATTCATTTTTATGCTCCCTCCATCTTCTATTCTTCATCTGTACTGCATCATCTTGCCTCTATGAAGGCAATACCATTCTACAAGTTGAGTCTATCCTAAATACTACATCACACATATAATATTTGCTATCGTTGCAATTAAGTCTTAGGTGGCTTCTAAATCACAACGCGAATATTTTTTTTGTTAAAGAATTTATAAGCAGAAATGATTTATTTCATTTTTCCAAATAAATTAGTGTTTTTTTTAATGCCAAATAAATTATAATATTGGGGTATGTATTTTGACATCATTTGGAATAGATGGTCCCATTAGTGGTAAAGATATCAACAATTTCAAATGAGTACCATTGTGGCAAACATGTTCATTCCCATGTAATGCAAAAAATTTCATAAAAATAAATTGTAAATAACTTATTAGATATGAAACTTGCCATATAAATGACATTAAATAAGCATTTTTGATTATCTATTTGGTCTTATCATGTTATGAAGTTATGCATTTTATACATATATTCAAATTGATTAACAGAAAAAAGGTGAGTGAGAATCATTATTTAAAATGGTTCATAAGAACGTTAAAAGTATTAGCAACATTGATGAGTGAACTGCTCGCAACTCTAAAAATGGGCAAACTCAATGATGTTTCTTGAGTTTCATCTGGTGCGTTGGAGTTTTGCGACGGCATCACACTGGCATCTGTGATGGCACCACATTTTCTTGTATTGAGACCGGTTGTGACGGTGACGGCATCGTTTTCTCTTGGACTGAGGCCGTTGCACTTCCCGATGGCTCACGTTTCATCAGCTGCGTAAGAGTATTGCGACTTCTGAACTTTTGTTCAACCCCATATGAAAATATCTCTAGAGAGATAAGACTGATCTTGGGAAACTTCATTTTCTTCACTCAATTCTGACATATATTTTAATTGAATTATTTCGCTAATACTGTTGATCGATAGCGTGGCTAATCGATTGAATTGACTGTCATTCAATGACATTTCCTTCTGTGAACTTGTTCCAATGTTATTTAACACGTTTCAGCTACAGTGCCGTGCAAAAGTTTGAGACCACCTATGTATTTTTCATACAAAATGGCGTAAAATACCATTTTTTGAGGTTTCA